TTTTTAATGCATCTGTAAGATAAATTTTCCATTTTTACTAAAAAATTTAAATGATACTCCTTATGTTTCATAAAAATGTCATTTTGACACATTTTACTAACCTTCCCCTAATCATATCATACTAACTTAAGTACAAAAGTTTTTTAGCTTTGGATAAATATCAAATCTAGAAATTAGTTACAAAAGTTGCATTGAAAATGTAAAACGATATTCTTTTTAAAACCAAAAATAATTTTAAGACGACATTTTTTGTGAAACGGAGGAAATACTTGATTTCATAAGAGAGTAATGTTTGGACGCTTATAAAATATATAGAAAAACAATTACTTTATTTTATTTTTTGTCAACTACATATTTTTAAGATAAGCTAAGTACCAATAAAACATTGAAACCAAACGGCATATGAGTTTGAATTTGTTTAGTACTGGAAGAGTTTATAGTGGTTTAACATTAAGCTTATATTTTAGCCAAATGCAATAAACTCTTCTTTTCATGATTGGTAAATAAATTCTTGGAAATGTTTCGAAACAAACTTCACTTTATGATTGATATATAAAGAAAAACATGTCGAATTGATAAGAAACATAGCCTTATCTTTTTTTTATCTTTTTTTTTTTTGTTTTGTTTGAAAGGGTTTGAAACATAAGATATTAATATCATCATTAAATATTTCACAAATCAAATCAAGTAGGTGTTAGAGGTTAAGACTATCGTCCCAAAAAAAAAAGGAGGAAGTTAACAAAAATCAAAATTCGTTGAATACCTAACGACGAACAAATTTGAATTTAGTTCATATGTTTAACACTAAGTGCACTGATCAATAATAATAATAAAATGAAGAATAACAATATCAATATTGATGCCTGGCATATTGAAAAAAATCAAAGTGTTAGTCACGCCAAGTGTGAACACAGAAGTCTTGTTAGATGATAAGCACGTGGGAAAACATCTTAACACTTTCATTGTAATTGTCTTTTAGATTAAAGTTGTCGGATTTTTCAGCCTCGTTACTATGCGCAAGAAAAAAAATCTTGGCCGCAAACTTATTTAATACTGTAGCATATAAGATATATGTAGAAAGTAGATTTGCATGTATAATTTGCTTGCACAGTGTAACGGGGGAGATAATAAATGATATAAACAATGAGAGATCAGGGAATTTTTGGAACTAATCGTAAAATTTACCACGTATTAATATAGTTTTGAATCGTTTGAAAATTATTATCCAAAGAATTAAAAAGGAAGGTCACAAAAGATAGATATATGCTTTGCATATTTTATATTCGATGACGCTAGCTACTGAATCTTTATTTTCTTTAGTGAATACAAGAGAATGAAACAATGTTACAACATAGGAACAATAATATCATATGAGATGATCCCTAATTCCGCTTCACCATCGACAAAAGTTTTAAGCATTGGGATGGATAATTCGTAATGATCGTTGTATTTTTTTTGGCACCTAATATAAGCTTTTTAAAAATAAGAAAGAAAAACAAAAAAATAATAACAGTTGCATACTTGCATTAGGCCACACCTACAGTAGAACGGCATGATTGTTATGAACCAAATTTTTAAACGGCATGGATGTCTCTAATGTTGTAAAATTCTTAAATAATGGGCTTTCTTTGTGGCCCATATTAATGAGCTAACTCGTCGACCCATATATCGTAGGCCACTTACAGATTCTAAATTTCCTGTCACGAACAAATAAAGTTACATCTTTGGTTCAGTCATAGCATTTTCCTATGCAGAAGAAATGCTGTTTTATTGTTGTTGAAATCAGAGAGACCCTTTTGTTATTATTCCTTGTTTCACCTTTGTTTGTATGAAAGAACAACACTGAAAATTTTGGATACAATAGCAAACAGATTTAAATTTAAAATTTACAGTCGATCTGAGAAAAACACAAAGACTTAAGACTTTAGAAAATTGTGGTTTTTCTCAATAAATAAATCAGTAATACGATAATTTATACAGAGGTGTGTAGATGGAGGCTGATAAAAATTTGAAATTCCTAAGCAACTTTTTTTCTTATATATAGATAATTATACATTCCAAAATAGTAATTCAAGGACAGGTACATTTCCTTTTTCTTGTCTTGTGAATTAAGGAGAGGAAAATTTTCTTTTTATCCAAACAAAAAAATCATTTCCTAAAAAACTCTCTTCGTCTGTTGGCAAAAACGACGCCGTGTTTCATAAGCCAATATCTTTCTATCTCCTCCGGCGTCCGTCCCGGGATCCGTCCGGCGATCAACTCCCACCTACGCGCCATGTAGGATAAACTAACAGTCAGTTTTAACGAAATTACACAAATACCCTTTATTCCGATAAAAACCAAAATAAGTTTGTAATTCGGTTAAAATTCTATGGAACCAAACCAAAATCGTATGATATTTTCACTTTTATTATATACAAACTTGCTGTAATCAAAACTGAACCAAACTAGCCAAAATCAAGCAAACAACGAAATCGAATATGAGTTCTGTCATAAATTAAGACTATGTTTTGCTAAGAAATCATATAAAAACAAAACAAAAACGAAATCTTGATTAGGTTTAATATAATTTGATCAACTGAAACGAAAATAATGAATAAAAACAAAAACAGGATCAGAAATCAGGTTGAACACAGTCATTGCCATTTGACAGCTCTGTTAGGCCCAATAATATAATAGAAAAAACATAAATAAACGACCGACTTTATGTGATCAAAATCAAAGCAGATTCGACAAAACATGAAAGACCAAAAAAAAGAAGGAAAAATATTAGCAATAAGATGGATCGAAAGAGAAAGAGTCTCTGACCTGTCGCCAACGAGTTTATACATCCGAGAAATGAGATCTTCTTCTTCTTCCGACATCTTCACAGCTTCCCATTCGATACTACTCACCTCTGCGAAACAAACACACAAAAAAAAAATCAGACTCAAACCGATCAGAGAGATGTAGAAATAGTGAAACAGAGAGAAATCAGACCTTCGGAACAAGAAGCCTTGGCTTTGCTCTGTCTCCGTCGTCGTTTATCCATTTTTTCCGTCTTGTCTGAACGAAACATCAACTAATCTGAAGACACGAAACACAGAGAGAGAGAGATAGAGAATAAAAATCTCGAGAAACAAGAAGAAATGATTTCCTCACGAGGGAAAGGATTAATAGCTTTTCTTTTTGGTTCTTGAAAAGAAAGAGTGAGAGAGAGAGAGAGGGGCTCGAAAACGAAAAGAAAATCAAAGTGATTATTATATAACTGCGCATGTCTGATTTAATTCCTAGAATAATTACTTATTTAATATATTATCATCCTCCATTATTTAAATAGACTGATTAATAAATAATTTAATTCGATTGAGCGAAAGAAAACGAATCTGTAAACTGTGTAGTTCACTGTGTGTGTGTGTTGCTTCTTCCAACGGCCTTTAGTTCATAAGAGAAAGAAGAACGACAGATACAACCATAACTACTTATTTTAAATCCTTTGACTTGCGGTTGTAAATTTCCTCGTTTACAGACAGTTGGAGAAATAGTAGCTTCTCCTCTGGCTTTGACTTTCGAAATTACCTATATGTCCCTTTTATGTGTTTTTGTTTGTAGTTTATTTATTTGCTATTCTACATTAAATATACATTCTGTCAAACCTAAAAATTTAACTATTCAACAATAACAAAAGTTATTTGTTGCAAGAAAACAACAAAACCAGTGATATAAATTTCAGGAGTTGGATTTGAAAGTTTGATATAAAGAGGAAAGTTTGGTAGGAGAGAACAGCAAAATAGGAAAATGATATTATAATCAGACAAGAGGGTAAAATAAGAAATAGTTAGTTCGAGAACATATCTCTCTATGTATCTCTCATACTATATTCCTTTGGTCTGATGGTACTGTCGTCAAAAGTGGGCACAACACCCGTATGGTTGTGCGTCTACTGGTCCGATGTGGTCCGAAAACGTACTTTTTTTTTTTTTTGTTCATTAATTAAATATTTTTCATTACAAATATGCCTTTAACCGCATCTCGATACCGGTTTAATTACATATTTCAAGGTTTCATCTATTCATTTTTTATATCACATATGGAATTCTAGACTAAATGGAGTGAGACGAAAGAGCAAAGAAACACATTTGTTGCATACAAAGCTTTGACTCGCAAAAAAGGCATGAATCAGACAAGTATCTAACAACAATTATTTAGGACATGTGGTGGTTAAAGCTATTTAATAACCAAAAAAGATTTTGTAGAATATATGAGATTAACCCTTTTTGATTTTCTAAAATGTTTTTTATTTTTGTTTTTTTTATATAAGATTTATATAAGATCTGCAGTGCGAAGGTGAGATACGTCTATATTCTATAAGATGAATAGCTGCTCTACTCTCTTTTTTTTTTTGTGGTACATGTTATATTGTTATGATAAAATTGAAAAAGTTCAAATCTATGCATTTTTCATTGCTTGATTTAACTATATTATAGAGAGAACTTGAATAACCAAAACTGTTTAAACTGCTGAAAGATCATAGAGATAAGTTGCATATATCTCAAAATTAAAAACAGTTATGTTGAAGTTGAATGTAGGTTGCTACATGCTTGTTAATTTGTTATATGGGTTTTTCATAAAGAAGTGGTTAAAATGTTATATGTCGGCCTAATAAGTCATGGGCCTGTTCAAAATAAAATGTAATGGGCCTATTGATGATTTCAAAGTGCTATTGGCCAGCTTGAGCAGTTGAGCCCATACTTAAAAAAGCCCATGAATGTTTGGAAAAACGAAGACAGAGTACATACAACACGTGACACGCACATCTAAATACCAAAAAAAAAAACAAAAGCTTATCAATCAATCAAATCTTTAATCATATAATTTGGTCGGTTTAAGAGGTGTTTACGTGGTTATCAGCGTTAACTTAGAATTGATTTACGAAAAGGCAAAAAATTATCAAAGTGTTTTTGTGCTACCGTTTTTGCCCCTTTAAAAGTCTCAAATTCCAAGGCGATAAATGGTCATGTACCCTCCACGCTCCTCCTCTCTTTTGTCGCCACGTGTTTACCACCGCTCTCGTCCGAATTTGTCAGCATCTCTATGCCACGCGGCGGCCAGTTTTCCGACGTTAATTTCTTCGGTAATTATCACACGTGTCGTGTTTCAAATGGATACTAACTTCGAGCTTATTTTATGGAGTTTTTAATTTTTAGTTTTGAACACCTTTAAAAACTCAGCGTTTTTTTATTGGTGGGTCCAGTCACCAGTGGATTAATGGAACTAGCGTAATATAATTGGTGAATGAATATGTCTGTTTCATTGAACTCATGCGTTTCTATTTAAAGAAGTCACAGTTTTTTCAATGAGTTCACGTGGTCAAGTGCTTAGCTCGTGAGTCGTGACCCGGCTTCAGTTTTCATACTCAGCTTCGTTACAACATTATTAGAGAGAATAATTCACTTTCATTACATAAATGCCAAAAACAATTAATACCAACTTGTTTTGATAATTACAAAGTTACAAAATACAAGCAATCAGAGTTTTGAAGTTAGATTTCATTTGAAACGTTTCAATTATCTTCCTTTGAGGAAAAGAAAAATACAACATTTTGGATTTTAATCAATTATATATGTTGAAAAGACTATACAAAAAGTTCTCTATATATAAACAAAAAAAATATCTTACATCTAATTTTTTTGTATATAAATAAATTAAACAATTTGTAAAGTATTAAGTAAAAGATTATTTTGTCACTATATATACAATAACGGTAGTCCGATCGATCCGTTTCGTTAGAGTTTTCAATAGATAACTATATAAACTAGTACGGAAATGACAACAGTTTTTTGCAATATACATATATATATATATATATGTATGTGTCTATATCAGTGTATATTTATACAAAAGTTAATAAAAAAATGAAAAGCTCATAAATAGGAGATCTTGTATGAAATGAGATATTCTTCTAATTTTTGAACCATTTTGATTTTGTGTTAGAGAAAAATGAAGTGGTCCTGGAAACATATAAAATAAAAGAAAAAGATGCTATTCCTGGAGACTGAGAGTACAGTGGAGGTCCATGCCATCTCGTAACACCCAACAACACTCAACAACTTGCCAAATTAGCTTTCACTAGCTGTTGTTATACATTCATTTCTTAATTTAAATCGGAATATATATTATCAGCTTTAAACATTATAACCAAAGCATAAACTAGATGCATCTTCTTAACTAGAAGGCGTTAACTTTTTAGTTTAATTTCCGATTATAGTGATACGCTCCTTGCAAATAAATATACAAGCTCTGAAAGTTCACCGCCGCTACTATATCTCGTGTGTTAAGCCGAGCCAAGCTATTAAATTGTACTGCTAAAGAGTTTCGCCGATTCTTTTAAGACTGACGAGATACTAAAACTGAACTATTCCCTATATAGTTAAACACCAAATTTAATTCTAAACTCAACCGTATTAAATGAGAAACGTACCATTCCTTTAAAACTAGAAGAAAAAAAATCATATTGAAACTAAACTAAAAATTCGGTCTAATTGTTTTTTACTCAAAACATTGGAAACAGTTTTTTATTTTATTAACTAAAGTGAAAAAGCACTCGAATAGTGTAACTATAAGGAAGGAACTACTAATATAAATTTTGGTTGCTGGTGAGATTCTTTTTTCCTCCTTCTCCAGCGGACGTCTCCGTCTCTTCTGCTTCTAACTTGCTCCAAATTTTCATACAGGACTTGAAAATTCTAAGCTTGCTTATGAGAGTAATGGTGTAGCAAAATCTTTATCCAACTCTGGCTGTTGATGTTTTCTTGTTTCTCATCCTACCAAAAGACCGCCGGATCTTGTTTCCCCGAACTTCTCCTACGCATCTTCTTCCGATTCCGTAGAGTTTGCGTCGTTTTTTGTTGTAATTTCTTGAAAAATTCGTCTTGTTTTTACTAATTCTGATTCTTTAGAGGGCCCAAAAATTCGTCGAGAAATCTGTCTTGGAAGTGTAGCATTTTGGATTAGCTGTGACTCAAATCTTGAATTTAAGGTGAAACCACCTTGGATCTTCTCCATGATCTTTGTCGTGGACATTTTTTGTTTTTTAAAGCTTAGTAGATTCTCTAATATTTAATTAGAGAGTATCTGTTCGTGTAGATATATATTTATTCAGCTTTATTGTTAGATAATGATTAATAATTGCACACAATCTTATTAAATTTTCCTGTTGCTTTTCTCGGCTAGAATTTCAGCTATTCTCTTGCTAGATCTGTTAGATTTCTTTTATTCTTGAATTCCAGAAATGGTGAAAGTTTCTGGAGTTGGATTCATTTATTTTACATTGAATGTGGTTTTTTTTTTTTTTTTTTTTTGATTTAGATGCAGACAGGACCATGTTGTGTTTTGGATTACTTGAGATTTACTATCTCAATAGTTCATCGTACTGATTTTTGTGTGAACTTGTTTGATAGAGTTTATAAGAGAATTGATGATGAACTATTCTTGTTTTGTGTGTATGCTAACTTTATGAAATAATTATTTATTACTTAGATTCTGCAGTTGTGTCTTCTTGATTCCTAATAAACAATGTTAAAGACTTCACTTTTCATGCTTCCTATCATTAGCAAATAGCAATGTCAAAGATGCTTCTCTTTCTTTAATCATTTTTATTCTTACCTGCTGAATTAACAATCTATGTATATCCAGGTTTGGTATTTGGTCAACAACATCAGAAACATGTGTGCTCAGATGTTGAGTTCTATAGACTGTATTGTTGTGATGGTGAATAGTTGTCATTGAAGGATGCACGATTTTTATATTCAGCTCTAATGAAGAACGAACAGGTTCGTCCTTAAATGAAAACTGATTATCTTTTTACTTTTGCTATTCTTTACTTTCCAAGTAACAATTGCCTGTTGAAGTTCTATGGATTAGATCAATACTTAGATAGGAAGTTGAACCATGATATAATCTTCATTATTAAGAATGCTTATAGCACTGATATACTTTGGATTAACTAAGAAGTGAAAAAGTTAAAGAGAGTTTTAATTGGATGACAGAGCACACAACAGTTGAAGTCTTCTTCTACCCAAGTTTCACATGAGTCTCAAGGTGAACAGAAAGTTAATTTATCAATAGAAGCTCCTATACAAGATTCTGGTTCTGTATCTGCCTCAAGTAATGACGGTAGGAAAGTTTCAAGGCAAGATATTGAACTTGTAAGAACACTTTGCCACCTTCCCTACTGTATATACTTTCTTGTAAGTTTCAATCATTTGATAGAGAAAAATATATATTCTACATGATTGATGCAGGTCCAAAATTTGATAGAGAGATGTCTTCAGTTGTACATGAACAGAGATGAGGTCGTCAAGACCCTCTTGACCCGTGCAAGGATTGACCCTGGTTTTACAACCTTAGGTATGGTTACCTTTGCTATTCCATAAGCATAATCAAAGTAACATTTTGTTAGTAACTAACCACGTTCTTGTGAATTTAGTATGGCAGAAACTGGAAGAAGAAAATGCAGAGTTTTTCAGGGCATATTACATCAGACTGAAACTAAAGAAACAAATAGTTGTATTCAATCATTTGCTTGAGCACCAGTATCACCTCACGAAGTATAATGTACATTCAAAAGTTCCTCTGGTCCCGATGCAGAACGGTATTCATCCCATGGCATCTGGTAAGTTTGACTCCTTATATCACTTGTTGGTGTAGATGGTTCAATCATTTGTTTGTGGTTGGTTTCACTATTATTATAACACTAAATGTTTGCAGCGCAGTGAACAACATGCCCATGGGATATCCAGTACTACAACATCCACAAATGCATGCTCAAGGTCATCCCCATCTTGATCCAATGAGCTGTGGAATGTCAAGCTGCCATGTGGTTAATGGAGTCCCTGCACCTGCTAATTTCCAACCAATGAGGATCAACTCTGGGAATGAGTAAGAACTAACTTGGATTGAGTTTTTTTTTTTGCAGAATCAATGCTTTTTTTTCTGGTGCTTTAGACTTAAAAACTATTTCCTACTGGTGCTTGGTGTAGTATGGTAATAGATACGACCATGGCTGAGCCAACTCCAATGATTCCACCAAACAGTGGTATGTCGGATATGCCAGTGAGTCCAGCTTCTGTGGCGTCAAGTGGACACTTTCCATTTGCTGCTTCAGACATGTCAGGCATGGGAATGGATACATCAGCTCTTGATTCTGCTTTCACATCTGACGTCGCAACTTCAGTAGGGTTACAACTTGGATCAGATGGAGGAGCTGGAAATTCTAGAGACCCTCTCAGGCCATTTGATCAGATACCTTGGAACTTTAGTCTCTCTGACCTCACTGCAGATTTGTCAAATCTTGGAGGTAATTAAGCTCTCTTTATCCAAAGGCATTGCGAGTTTTGCTCGAAAAACTTTAAACATACGTTGGTAGATGCTCCATGTACTCCATAGAATGTTACATATCAATGATCTTCTACATTGCAGATTTAGGGGCCTTAGGAAACTATCCCGGTTCACCTTTTCTTCCATCCGATTCAGAGATTTTACTCGATTCTCCTGAACAAGAGGACATAGGTAAACACTGATCAATCTTATAAGAATGGTTTGAACATGGAGTGTTTCAAACTTGGTTTGCTTATAGATTTAAAGGTTTCATGTTCTATGATCACTAACTAATATCTTCGTTTCTGTATCCCGTAGATGAATTCTTTGTGGATTCGGTTCCAGGACCTCCATGCTCACAGTCAGAAGAAGACAAGTCTTAATCAAGAATTCAAGTTTATGATATTTGACAAAGTCTTTATTTGCTTGTCTTATTATCTAGCAAACAAGCAAGGTTTGTGCCGTCTCGCTATATTAGAGAAAACCTCCAAACGGATTTAAAGGTTTTCATGATCTCTTTTTTTCCTCTTCTAAGGTTAATGAGATAGACTTAGAGTAATTGCTTAGTGTTCTTTATTGTACACCTTTATTTTGGGATTCTGCAAGCATGTAGAGACCATATAATTGTATAATATCCAAGTATCTCTAAATAATCTATTTTCTTGTTGGATAGTTCATTAGTATGTATGGGAGTATCTCATTTTTTTCCTTATAACAAATATTTCGTATTATAGAAATCTATAAAAGTCATTGCATAATAAATAACTCGTGGAAATTGGTTTTGAGCTTTAAGGAATGATTGATCTTTTGTTTTTCACAAAGAGAGAATGATTGATTATTTTTGAAGAGGAGAAAATGACGTACTCAAAAGTCAGAAAAAGAAATGACGTATGCCAAAAAGAGTATAAAAGTCTCTTCAAGACTATCCACCAAACACCAAACCAGTATAAATTTTTTGTATTTGGAATAGAAAAATCATTGATTTCGTATATAGGTAGACTAATCAACATTTGTGGATTTAGAATTTCATATACAAGTGTCCTTAAATTAAATCAAGACCGTGAATGCATATAATAAAATAGGTCCATAAGTGAAAAAATATATACAAATATTAAGAGTATTGAGTCATCATAACTCATCATAATTATATAAAAAACAAAAAACAAAATGAGTGTTTGTTATACATCAAAAAATTAGCGAATGACCATATCTATATTTTTTCAAAAAAAATACTGAACATATTGAGGTAATAGATACATTTATATGGTAAGGACGACAATATATAAATATATAAGTTGAAATAGAAATGTTGTTTTCATATTTCCTCTCAAGAAAAACCAAATTGGAATTGTAATTTGTAGGGTTGACTGACTCAGTCTTCGTCAAAAGTCAACTCAACTATTTTTTTCTTTTCCAAAATTTATTGATTTATATTGTTTTTTCCAAAATTTATTATTATTGTATACTTGTCTTTTTCATGTGTTTCCCAGCCTCGTTTCTTCTTCACTTATTCTATGATTGTATACTTGTCTTTAGGGCTCGGCAAAATATCCGTTTGATTCGCTTCGATCCGTTATTCGATTCGATTCGATTTGAAAAATCCGGATATCCGTAACTTTTCGAAACAAATCAAATATTAAAAATAGGTATTCGTAAAAAAACGGAGCAAATATCAAATACTATAATTCAAATTGGCGGATATCCGCTTCGCTCCGGAATACATACATATATATAGATTATTACATATATAAATTATAATTTTATTATTCTTGTAAGCGTTTTATAATTTTTAATCTCCGAATTAATTATTTGAACTATTAGTTTGAACAATTAAAGGAGAAATATATATATATTTTTGATAAAATATCACTATTTTTAATAAAATTTTACAATTTTAGGATTAGATTTTTTTTTATTTAATTTTTTTTGTTTAATTTTAAACAAATATTTAACGGATCGAATATCCGGCAAATAGTTTGGATTTTAACGGATATTCGAACAGCCGGATATCCGGTCACTAACGAAGCAAATATGAATCGGAAAACTTAGTATTCGGAAAAAAACGAATCGAATAACAAATACCACCAAAAACCCGGATATCCGCTCCGTGCCCACCCCTACTTGTCTTCACTTCTTCAATTCAAAGTTGTACTATATCACTACTTCGCCTAAATTTAGAATATCATTATCTTGGAGAGTCTCTTTTTTCTTCATACTATTTCAAGAAATAATTAAACTTTTTTTCCCTTTTGATTTTTTTCTGTCGGGAAGACTTTTAAGTTCTATTTCTTTTCCGGGAAACAAATTCTCGAATTATCACAGAAAAAATACCGGAAAAAACCTTCGTTGATTCGTCCCTCTCAAATCAAGGTTTTATTCTTTATAACTTTGGTCTTCATTTCGCTACTTCTTTGAACTTCAAATAGTTAAAAAGTAGTTAAAATTACTGTTTCTTCAAATTACTCTGTTTTGTCAGCTTGCTCTTTTCTTGGTAGAGAAGATGAGAGGATTAAAGGGTTATAGTATAAACTGGATTTTATAAAACGTGGAAATAAATAAAATTGAGATCGAATCTTTTCCTTTTTTCCGAAGGTTCAAGAATCTGTGGAAGATAACAAGCAGAGATGATGAATCCCCACAGAAACAAATTCGTAAGGTTTGTATCAGTTTTTCCTTTTAATTTAATAATCTTGGTTAATAATTACAATTTTAAGAAGTGATCTTGATCTTAATTTGTTGATCCAGGTTTAATGGAAATGATGAGTTTTCGACCAAAACTACTAGACCATCAGTAACTTCAGTTATGAAAACCGTTAGACGAAGCTTCGAAAAGGGGTCAGCGAAAATCAGAACCTTTAAGCAGCCCTTGAGCTTTCATTCAAAGAAGAATAAAGAAAACAAGAAGAAGATACTAAGAGTGATGAATCCTAACGATTCTTATCTTCAAAACTGGAACAAGATTTTCTTGCTTCTCTCTATTGTGGCTTTAGCCTTTGATCCCCTGTTTTTCTATATCCCCGTTGTGAACTCTGAGAGATTCTGTCTTAATCTAGACAGTAAACTCGAGGCAATCGCTTGCGTTTTCCGCACTTTCATCGACGCTTTCTATGTGGTTCACATGCTGTTTCAGTTTCATACCGGTTTCATCGCTCCTTCTTCTCGTGGTTTCGGCAGAGGAGAGCTTAACGAGAATCCTAAAGAAATCGCTATGAGATACCTCGGATCATACTTTCTAATTGATCTTCTTTCGATTCTCCCTATTCCGCAGGTAAAAATGTTTTCTCAAATCTGTTTTTCAAGATCTTGGTTACATTTCAAATGAATCTAAAATATTTTGATTTTCTTTGCAATTACAGGTAGTTGTTCTAGCTATTGTTCCAAGGATGAGAAGACCCGCGTCGCTGGTAGCAAAAGAGCTATTGAAATGGGTAATCTTTTGCCAATATGTTCCGAGGATAGCGCGAATCTACCCGCTTTTTAAAGAAGTAACAAGAACTTCTGGTTTGGTAACTGAAACTGCTTGGGCTGGAGCTGCTTTAAACCTATTCCTCTACATGTTAGCTAGCCACGTAAGAAAAGAGTATTTTCATTGATTTCTTTACACGACTTAGGTTAATGTTCGGGCGAAAATAACGGTTAGAAAATTGCGAAAATGGACAGGTTTTTGGGTCTTTTTGGTACTTGATTTCGATAGAAAGGAAAGATAGATGTTGGCGCGAAGCGTGTGCTAAGATAGTTAATTGCCGTCATGAAAAACTATACTGTTCACCAACAGGGGAAGACAATAGGCAGTTTTTAAACGGTTCTTGTCCGTTGATCGATCCCGAAGAAATCTCAAACTCGACGGTTTTCAACTTTGGTATATTCGCTGATGCATTGCAGTCTGGAGTTGTGGAGTCTAGAGATTTCCCTAAGAAGTTTTTCTACTGTTTCTGGTGGGGTCTTCGCAATCTTAGGTTTGTAACATCTAAAACTCTTACTATAGCGATTCCTTTACTTTTTGTTATCTTAAGGATGAATCTTATCTTTTTGTGTATAGTGCTTTGGGCCAAAACTTGAAGACGAGTGCCTTCGAAGGAGAGATCATTTTTGCGATAGTCATTTGTGTCTCTGGACTAGTCTTGTTTGCTCTTCTCATTGGAAATATGCAGGTAATTATTTCTCTTCTTCTTTGAGCTCAAGCTCTTAAAACACCGACTCCACCATATTCTTAAAGATATCTGTGATTTGTAGAAATATTTGCAATCAACTACTGTACGAGTTGAGGAAATGAGAGTGAAAAGGAGAGATGCAGAGCAATGGATGTCTCATAGGATGTTGCCAGACGATCTGAGAAAACGTATCCGTAAATACGAACAGTATAAATGGCAAGAAACCAAAGGAGTTGAGGAAGAAGCTCTTCTCTCTAGTCTCCCAAAAGATCTCAGAAAGGACATTAAACGCCATCTTTGTCTCAATTTGCTCAAAAAGGTAACCTTTTCTTTGGTCCCATCATCACAACTATATATCACTAAATAAATAACCAACTCTTCTTGAATTCACTGTTTTGGTTTTGTTTTGTTTCAGGTGCCTTGGTTTCAAGCTATGGATGATCGGTTACTAGACGCTCTATGTGCTCGTCTCAAAACGGTTCTTTACACAGAGAACAGTTACATTGTGCGCGAAGGTGAACCAGTGGAAGATATGTTGTTTATAATGAGAGGAAATCTAATAAGCACCACCACTTATGGTGGCAAAACTGGTTTCTTCAATTCGGTTCCCTTAGTTGCTGGTGATTTTTGTGGAGATCTTCTCACTTGGGCATTAGATCCTCTCAGTTCAAACTTCCCTATCTCTAGTAGAACCGTTCAAGCTTTGACAGAAGTTGAAGGCTTTGTTCTCTCAGCTGATGATCTCAAGTTTGTCGCTACTCAGTATCGTCGCCTCCACAGCAAGCAACTCCGACACATGTTCAGGTAAGAATTTCAATTGAAAAAAATGCATGCTGAGTTAATCATAAACATATTGAATATTGAGGACCTATCGTATACATATCTCGTTTCTCAAGTTACCTTCAACATAATATCCCTAAATCTTTTGATGACCTACCTTGTATCTTGTTTCCCAAGTTACCTGAATTTTATAACCTAAACAACTTTTTGTCTCCAGGTTTTATTCAGTGCAATGGCAGACATGGGCAGCATGTTTTATACAAGCAGCATGGAAGAGACATTGTAGAAGGAAGCTCTCAAAGGCTTTACGTGAAGAAGAAAGCAAACTACATAACACTCTTCAGAACGATGATTCAGGAGGCAATAAACTTAACTTAGGTGCTGCGATTTATGCGTCGAGGTTTGCTTCTCATGCTCTGAGGAATCTAAGGGCGAATGCAGCAGCACGAAACTCTAGATTTCCTCAGATGTTATCTTTGTTGCCTCAGAAACCAGCCGATCCTGAGTTTCCTATGGATGAAATCTAATTGTGTATAGTTGACTCTATCTTATGTAATGTGATCGCTAGTGATTTTTTGCAAATAATTATATATGTAACCAGTAAGGATCTTTATGTGAAATAGTCATTACGAAAATTTCTTAAAGAGTTTAATAAAAAAACAAAAAAACACTAGAAAGTTTCTAATTCCTAAGCTTTTAAAACATTCTTAAGAAAAGGAAATAATTATGAAAAAAAAGGAAATAAAGCCATCTAAAGAAAAGGAAATTGAAATAAGGAAACATATATATATCTCTCCCTATATATATATATATATATATATATATATATATATATATATATATATATATATCCTCCAACGGCTCTATTGTAATATCTTGTGTATATATAATAACATTGATCAATAATACCTAATTAATGTAACACTTTGCTTCTTCTATTTCTTCTTTGAGAGAGAAATATCAAAACTCTCTCTATTTCTCGCTTCTTCTTCGAATGTCTTTATACAGAAACTCTTTGAATTCCGATGATCCAATTAGATTGATCGGCGATGATGATGATCACTATCTCTGCCTTAAACGCTTCACTATTATCTCTTTCTCTGTTAATCGCGTCCTTTTGTTGTAGTCGTCGGATCTGCTTTTGCTCCTTAGGGTTTTCTCGGGAGCCAATGCGAAAGAGGAGTTTTTGAAAGAGGTTAATCGAGTGGAGGAGTTTCTCAAGGATCCTTGTGTTTCTTCTAAGGTTTTCAATGGAGGTATCGTTCAGGTTAGGGTTCCTAAGGTTGTTCCTCCTTCTCAAGCGGCTTCGATTTTGGGGGTTGGAGATGGTGCTATTGGTTCTGGAGTTGATGAATTGGCGTTCTGCTCAGAAGAAACGTGTTTTGTTTGCTGGATTCAATGAAAATGCTTTTTAACTTTCAATACAGGAACTAATTCAGAACGTCTTAGCGAATCAACAAGTTATCCTGAGGAAAAGAAAATCCGATGTGGAAGCTGAATTGGAATGTAATCGAGAGCAAGAGACGGGCTTGGGAATTAAGGGAGGTTGATGATATGTGAACAAGTTTCAGAACAACCACCGACTCCTGAGGATTTCACGACCACCAGGTATTTTTTCTTTCTTACCTTTTTTTTTAATCATAAATCATAAAAAATTTTGATTATTAAAAATTAGTAAAAACTTTTACTAATTTTTTTAAAAACTTTAAGGATTAAACTTTAAGAAAATAATTAATAATTTTAAACTAAAACATGTTAATTTCAGTATTACATTTTAAAAATTAGTTTAAGTGTTCAATTTTAAAAAACGTTGAAAACTAACCGCGCCTAGGCATCCTGTCCATAGTTGGTCCGTAAGCTTTGGTGTTCGACGTTCGGCGTGTTTTCACGTAATATAGATTTAACACTTAAACTCATTTAAAAAAAAAAATAATGATTTTCACTAAAATTTTAAACAAATTTAACATTTACAATTTAAGAAAATTCTATCTAAAACAATGTTAATTTCACTATTACTTTTTTAAAATTAGTTTAAGTGTTAAATTTTAAAAACGTCGAAAACAAACCGCTCTTAGACATCCTGTCCTTAGTTGGTCCGTAATGTTTGGTGTTCGAAGTTAGACATGTTTTCACGTAATTAAATTTTAACACTTAAACTCTTTTTAAAATATAATAATGATTTTTACTAAACTTTAAACAAATTTAACAGTTAAACTTTTAAAAAATAATTAATAATTTTTAACTAAAACCATATTAATTAAAATAATAATTTAGTTAATTTAAACCGACTGCCTAACAATTTTTGAACATTCAATGGTACCAAATGGGCAAGTTGTAAAAAGAAGACAAGTAGAGAGAAATTGGATTTTGTGAATATTATTGTAATTTGGAAGGAAAAGAGTGAGAGTGCGGAGCCCCCACCGTAGAATTTTTTTTTTGGTTTTAATGTCAAGAACCCACCGTCGACTTTGCTTTCTCTTCAAGACCGTAGACTCTGAAAAGTCTGCATCCACAGTCTTGGTTAAAGCTTGGAACATCCATTAGCCCACCATTTCTCACTGCCACAGCCATTTTTCATTTTCTCTTTCTCTCTTCTTAGTCTCTCACTCCCACAGCCTTTAGTTCGAGAAGACCGAAGTGGACTTCATTTTCTTGTACAACCATGAATTATCAGAGGAGTAATAAATTTGTCAGGTAGCTTGATGAACTAGTTTAAAATAGCTTTAATCTACTATTTTTATTTTTATTATTGGTTGTAGTGATCATATCTTGTTGATACAGGCTTAATCATACTAGGAATTTGGCGAGTTCTGTTGATGAAAAATTCAAAAGTGTTAGAGGACGCTTGAAGAAATTTTACCGGAAGATGAAAACACTCGAAAACTGGAGGAAGACTGTCTTGTTAGCTTGCGTGGTTGCTTTGGCTATTGATCCTTTGTTTCTCTTTATCCCTTTGATTGATTCTCATAGATTTTGCTTCACTTTCGACAAGAGACTTGCGACAGTAGTTTGTGTCATTCGTACTTTTATTGACACATTCTATGTGATTCACATCATTTTCTATCTTATAACCGAGATCATTGCTCCTCGTCCTCAAACATCTTTGAGAGGCGAGATTGTCATGCATTCTAAGGAGGCTAATACACTGAAAACACGTCTCCTCTTTCACTTCATGGTAGACATTTTCTCTGTTCTCCCCATTCCTCAGGTATTGTTCTCTTCGTTTGTGACATCTACTTTTCCATGGTGCATTCTTCTTATTAGAGATATGTGCGATGCAAAATTGTAGGTGGTGGTTCTCACTCTCATTCCACGGTCTGCCTCCCTGGTGTCAGAGGAAATACTGAAATGGATTATACTTACTCAATATTTACCAAGAATCATTCGAATGTATCCGCTTTACAAAGAAGTGACTAGAGCCTCTGGTACGGTAGCAGAATCAAAGTGGATTGGAGCTGCTTTGAACTTTTTCCTTTACATGCTGCACAGTTATGTAAGTCTTTGCTCTTATTTTTTGTTCTTAATTCTTTGCTTTGTTATACGACGCGAAAACACCAATTGTTACACTGGCTACTAGGTGTTTGGGGCATTTTGGTACGTGAGTGCAGTAGAAAGGAAAAGCAAATGTTGGCGTCAAGCGTGTGCTAGGACATCCGGCTGCAATCTCACGAATCTGCTTTGTGGTGTCGGAGACAATAGTCGTTTCCTGAACACTTCATGCCCATTAATCGACCCTGACAAAATCACAAACTCCACAGACTTCGACTTTGGTTTGTACATTGATGCATTGAAGTCAGGGGTGCTAGAGGTGAAACCAAGGGATTTTCCGAGGAAATTCGTCTATTGCTTTTGGTGGGGTCTTCGTAATATTAGGTACGTAATTTGTAAGATCTAAACTCTCTGCTGTGAGATCTGACGACTACTGGACCCATAGTATACATATGCATCCATTGAGGTTATCTCTTTTAACAATTACAGTGCTTTGGGCCAAAACCTGGAGACAAGCAACTCTGCAGGGGAGATTGTTTTTGCTATCATCATATGTGTCTGTGGTTTACTCTTGTTTGCTGTGCTCATTGGAAACGTTCAGGTAATGTTCATACTTTAGAAACTAGAGTTTGATCTCACAAAGCTGATTCATTCTTAATAGATATTTTTTGGTGATCACAGAAGTACTTGCAATCATCAACGACTAGAGTAGATGAAATGGAGGAGAAAAAGAGAGACACAGAAAAATGGATGTCCTATCGGGTGATACCAGAGTCTTTGAAAGATCGCATTAGGAGATTCGAAGATTACAAATGGCAAAAAACTAAAAGGCACCGAAGAGGAAGCTCTTCTTCGTAGTCTTCCAAAAGACCTCAGACTCGAAACCAAACGCTATCTTTACTTGGATATGTTAAAACGTGTAAGCTCCCTTTCCGTGATTGATTCAGAAATATAGTTGTCAACTTATAGCTTTTTCACCTCTCAGGTTCCATGGCTTGCCATCATGGATGATGGTTGGCTACTAGAAGCTGTGTGCGACCGGGTGAAGTCTGTGTTCTACTCAGCGAACAGCTACATAGTGAGAGAGGGCCACCCAGTTGAGGAAATGCTGATTGTAACGAGAGGTAAGCTGAAAAGTAGTACAACCGGATCTCATGAAATAGGTGGCCGCGGCTACAATTGTTGTTTCCTCGAAGCTGGTGACATATGTGGAGAACTTCTCTTCAATGGTTCTCGCCTTCCCACCTCAACCAGAACCGTAATGACTGAGACTGAAGTTGAAGGTTTCATTCTCTTGCCTGATGATATCAAGTTTATAACTTCTCATTTAAATGTCTTTCAAAGACAAAAACTTCAACGAACATTCAGGCAAGCTTCGAAACCAAAGTAGCATTTGAGATTTTTTTACTACCTTAAACAAACTACAAGACTCAAATTCCCCCTTTTTTGGGCAATGGCCATCCATTTTTCAGGTTCTATTCAGAGCAATGGCAATCATGGGCGGCATTCTTCATTCAAAGGGCATGGAGGGAACATTGCAAAAGGAAGCTTTCTAAGATCTTACGCGCCAAAAGAGACAACGAGAATATTCCACAAGGCAAGCAACTCAATCTTGCATCAACGCTCTACGTGTCGAGATTTGTGTCCAAAGCTTTGCAAAATCGACAGAAAGATATAGCAGATTGTTCCACTTCTCTTGATATGTCACCTCCGGTACCTCATAAACCAGCCGATCTCGAGTTTGCAAAGGATGAAGCATAGTGTATCTTTGAAGGAAAATTACTTTGTACACAAAGAAGGAAGTGAAGACTATGCTTAATTTACGCAATCATTTATTAGGATTGTCGACATATGCCCAATCATTTGACAATAACTAGAGAGTTGTAGGGCATGCTTTGAGCACATGGAGATAACTTTGGTCGATTGCTGTTTCTAGGTCAAGTCTGCCTTAAGAGATGGTTCAAAATAGCTACAATAAGTTGTACATAAACAGAGTATTCAAGTCAAATTTGATTCAAAGAAAAAAACAGAGAGACTAAGAAAGCAAAAGAAGTTTCACTTCCTGTCTTTCTTCTTCACCACGTCAATAAATTCTCTCATAAGACTTATCAATCTCGCCATGATCCTTTGCTGCTCAGAGACTATGTTTACGTGAATATCTGGCCACCCCAGGATGCTTCTCAACTTTACTATCTGATTGGACTTCAACACTATTTGAGTGGAAAAAAATGTTGTGTGTTTTAGATTGAACGAGAGAGAGATATAGAAAGAGATAAAGAGGATAGTGGCCAAGGAAGATGTATACTGTGAATTATGAGAGATTCTCCACAGAGAGGGAGATGAACTTACTCAGGTATAATGTGGAGACATAGATTCTAGATGTGATCATGTAAAAGTACATTGCCTGCAAAAACACAAAACTGAGACATATATCACTACAAGATTCAAGACAATGTTTAAGATCAAAGGTCAAAAAATTGAGTCCAGCTTTACCGGTTCGTATTCAAAAGTAGCTTGGAGCACAACAAAGATAATGGGAAATAAAGGGAGTCTCTTCATGCTGGATAAAGGATTTGTCCGCCTAGTGTTGATCTATCATAAATGAAATAAAAATATATATCAGTTAGTTTGGATTATATGTATCAACAACATATCTGTTTGTTTTTTACTCTCTCAACATTATATTAAGAAAATCCTCAAACCTCTGATGAGAACCAGAAAGTGAAGCCTGCCAGTAGAGGCAAGATGTATAGGCTGTCTGAAGTTGAAAGTTCAGGGACTTTCTTAGCCATGGTCGTTATCTGTTTCCAACGTAGACAAGGAGTCAATAGGCAAGAGTCAAAACACTAGAGCCAAAGATACATTATCTTTTAGTTTTACCCCACTCAGGAAGCTGAAGTAGACGAATGCATCAGGAACAAGTAGTGTCAAGAAAGGAAAGCAAGCGTCTTCGAATCTGGTGTGATAATTAATTCTCAGAGAAGAAGTTAGAGCAAGTCAGAGAGAGACATAATGTTGTGTAAGAAAACTCACCTTTTCGCCAACTCTGCTTCCCATTTTTTGTATTTAGCTCGAGTTTCACGATTACCGACCTGAAAATTGTTTGTAACTGTGCTCAGTTTAGGTTTGAAAAGATTTCAAAAGAGCTAATAAGGACAACGTACCATTTTAATTCTCTCCACGTCTTGAATGGTCCTAGTCAAAATCTAGTATACAACAAAATGTAGAATTATGTAAAAGTTCAAAAGCAACAAGATTTAGGAACAAAAGGATAAAACTTGTAAAAGAAAGCATAAGAAACTAACTTGTAGTTCCAGAGCTTGTTTCTGAACCCGCATAGAAACTGGTGACATGAGTACACTAACCAGAAAAGCCGTAAGAACAATCGACATCAACCTATAAATACAAGAGTAGAAACCAATCACTGAACTAAAACCTTAAAGAAATCATCAAGCAATAACAAACATAAAGTCCAAGCAATATAATCAATGTTACCAATTGAAGCCTGTGAGTTCATGGATTCCATTAATCACATACTGCACGAAGTCCCCGGGGAAAGAAAAATTCTCAATTGCTGCAGTACACTCATCTATTGCTTCCACAGATTTCTCAGAGACGAGATCCTCAACAACATTTCCAAAAGCATCAATCTTTGAACACAATTCTTCTGGTTTAGAAGACATGTGTCTACATAGCAATACTCCAGAAAAACCCTCTGGTTGAACAAAATACATTTTCCTTCTATCTTCAAAGAAAACTTGCCTGTGAAAGCTACGAATCAGAGGATTTGATTCCGGGAAAGTGGATTCAGTAAAATCTTTGATATGATGATGAAGAACAACAGGCCTTGAGGTCATGTAGCTGAAGAATTTTGGGTAAAGACTTCTCCTTGAGAAGCTACGAAGACAAGCCATTTCTAGAGGTATAATTTTGAGCAAAGAGGTAAACTCTCAGCTCAAGAGGAAGAAAAATTGCAACTTGGGATCGCGAGTGGTTGATTTCTTACACGAATCTAGATAAAGAGACACATTTGAACCAGAGATTTTTCCCAAAATTTGGAAAGGAAACAGAAACCCTAAGTTTCCACAAGATAAAGAGACACATTGGTTCCCCCATTTGAAGCAGAAAAAGCACGCAAAAGTAATGATTTTTCACAAATTCGTAACTCTTCGTATTCTGCTTTCCGCCATTTTTCTGCACTAGTTTCCATTTTTGGGTACCCTACATTGGGCTAATAAAGCCTAATGATTAATGGGTTTTTAAGGCCCATTAATGTTAGATAGACGAAACGCTACGTTTTGTCTTTCGTTTTAGTTTGTCAGATGAAACGTTGCGTTTTGGTTACGATGGTCGTCGTCAGGTAGAGAGAGAGAGAGACGCGAAGTCCTGATCGCTCTCTCATGTCTTAGCCCTAAGACTACGAGTCGACTCAGCCGAACTGTGAATGCAGTTTTGATTTCAATTCCTTAAGGTAATTTTGAACCTTTCGGTTTTGAGTCGTTTTCTTTGTGGTTTCTCGAGAAAATGTTGAAATGGAAGTGTAGAAATGGATCCTTATCTGTACAAAGTCTAAGCAGAAATTGATGATTTTTGTGTCAATTGATTTGGTTCTGTATTGAGGAACTTTGGTTTTGATTCGAATGTTCTATTTGATCTTTCGTAGTTTTGTTGTTGCTCTATACTGAGTGACAGAGTGAGTACTCTTTTTTTTTTTGTTTAGCAGGATCTTCTTCGTTATGGCTACTTGTTTGCGTGGTATCACGAATAGAGTTAATCTTTTACAGAGACGAGTGTATCCATCGTGTGGTCATCTGATTCGTGATGATAGAGATGAAACTAAATCTGATTCTTCGAATTCGGATACAATGATTCGTAAAGTCTTAGCAAGTAATGGGACTAGCAAGCTTAGCTCTATGTCTTTGGAGAGGCATTATCAGTCGTTTTCGTTTTCTGGGCCATTGGGTCTTGGATTGTCGTCGTGTCGGTATATGAGTTCTACACCACCGGAATGGTCTGATAAAGTTGATGGTATCGACTTTGTGGCAACGGAAGTTGTTCCCGATGAAATCATTGAAGCTGTGACGACCACAAGCCAAGCTGTTCCTGCTATAAACGAGGTTGCTATTGCTGCTGCGGATTCTGCTTTTCCTGTTGCTGCTTTGCAGCATTTGATTGATGGTGTGCATTCCTTTACTGGCCTAAACTGGTATAATATACACAGTTTTTAAACTCATTTTTTTTGGTTATGTTTTGTATGTATCAGTGGTAAAATTCTTTTCATTTTTTTTGGCAGGTGGGCTTCAATAGCCTTGACAACTGTTCTTATTCGTGGAGTTACAATACCTATTCTTTTGAATCAACTAAAGGCTACTTACAAACTCAATGTCAGTTTTAGATTTTTGTTCTCTCATTGCGTTTTTCAGTCACTAGGATTTGCCTCTTTTCCATTTGTGATTTATCTATCATGTTCTTGCAGGTTCTGAGGCCACAACTGGAGGAGTTAAGGCAAGAGATGAGCACTAAGGTACAATCTGTTCCTGGCCCTTCTCTTACTTGTTCTTTGTGTGCACGTGACCGTTTGTGAGTTTGATACTGTTCAAGGCCGTGAAAACGCCTTCTGGTTTAACATATAAGATAAACTCAGTTCGTCATAGTTAGTAAATGGATGCTTCCATCAGGATTTTCTAATTATCACTTGTGAACTATAATCTTGATTGAGTAGCTTTCTCGAGTTTCTGTTTGATTAGGAATTGTTGATGAAGTTCCAACTAGCGTTTCTAATTACCACTTGTCTGACTTCTATTCTGATATTGATTAGGTTTCTAGAGTGTCATGGTTAAGACCTTTTGCATTTGTTATAATGATTTTTAGGCTCAGGATCCTGAAGCCATGGCAGAAGGTCAAAGACGGATGCAATTATTGTTTAAAGAGTAAGTCTACTTGTATGGATGACTGGTGGAGATGAATTAGCTCTTCAAGTTTGACGTACTACTAGTTCCTCATCCACTGATATACTTCTATTGTTTCGTGGACTGGCTTAGACATGGAGTAACTCCATTTACACCCCTCAAAGGACTTATTATTCAAGGTCCCATCTTCATCAGCTTTTTCTTTGCGGTAAGATGGTTATACGTATATACTTCAGTCTTTCACTGTTTCTGATTATTATTGTCTATGTGTTCACTGATGTTTGTCTACAGATCAGGAATATGGCTGAGAAAGTCCCATCATTTAAAACCGGGGGAACTCTTTGGTTTACTGATCTCACCACTGCAGATACCACATATATCTTGCCACTTCTCACTGCAGTGACTTTCTTGATTATGGTAGAGGTAAGAGCTTTGTATATGCTTTCTTGTTGACTTATTATTTCATTCATAGAAAATTAGTTGATAAGCTTAGCTTAAAAAAATCAGAGTTCTATAATGGGAATATAACCTCTAAATCTTACTAAAAACGGTAACTTTTTCGCGGATTTATCTCTATTACTTTTGGTAGTTGGTTAATTATTTCATGACTAATTTAATGTAACCCAAGTCCTGTTTCTCTTTCCCATAGTCAAACATGCAGGAAGGTCTTGAAGGCAATCCAGTAGCTGGAACTATGAAGAAATTCTCAAGAATCATTGCCTTCCTTTCTATTCCAATTTTGATAGGCATTGAAAAGGTAAAGCCTACTGTTCCTATATTGACTATTTGATGTTGATAAGCATTGGAAACGTAAGAAAATTACATTTTGCTTACCACAAACGGATGATTTTTGTCTGCAGGCATTGTTCTGTTACTGGCTTACTTCCAACCTGTTTACTCTTGTGTATGGATTAAGTAAGTCCCCTGAACATAGTTCTTACTCTTTGAGACGTGAGTTTTGCAAATCCTAAAGAGTTTTGATTTGTATCTTTTGCTTGTGTATATATGCAGCATTAAGACGTCCTGATGTGAGGAAGTTCTTGAATCTCCCAGATGTTGTCAACTCTTCTACTAGGCAGCCATCACCGGTGTCGCCTTTGCCATTTTCCTTTCCCGAGACAAAAGACCAAAGTGTTGTTGCTCAAGAAAAACCTCCAATGTCGTCCTCCGAGTCATCTTCAAGTGTTCCAGATAGAAGAATCTCACGGAGTTCAGTTCTGAATCAGAGAATCAGAACTCTGGAGAGACAACTCAAGGACAGGAAGAACAAGAAGTGAGAGATTCTTTTATGTCAGGTTTGTTTTGCTAAAACTAGCCGATACTGAAGAAGTAATAAGTATCCTCGGGAAATTAAGATTTTGAGTTAATGGCGGAGTTATAGGAAAAATTTCAGTTAATGTGACAACAATCAATCTACAAGACCTGGTGGTGATGTTCCAAGTTTTCGTTCTGCAAAAACAGAGGAATAACGAATCAATTCTAACTTGAAGATTAATGATAAAGTAAAATTTTCCATCATGGTCGATTTAGATTTTATAATATTTCAGAGGGAAAGTAAATATTCTTTATACTTACAAACATATATACAGTATAACGATAACGGTAATTAGGGTAAAAATAGAGTAAACCCTAACCACATCTAATTAAGAGTGATCATCACAGAGAAAAACAAACAAGTTGATGAATTGCTTGAATTTGGATCTTTTGGAAATTATACTAGCGAGATTACCGATTAAGAGCATCACAACTTGCAACTTGGTTTGCAAGGAGTGGAAATCAATAGTGGAATCTGAGTTTCTCCGGGAGCTTTTCCTTTCTCACCATAAAAACTCGCCTTCTTCGTGGTCGCTCATGTGCACCGAATCTAAGAAAGAAGTCTTGGCTCACTACGGATGTGAAAACTGGGGACTTTCACGATCACTTGGTTCTTACATCTCTTCTTTCCTAACCAACAAATTCGAGAACCACAAGGACCATCTAAAATACAACACAATTAGAGTCGTGGCTCACACGGATGTCGGATTGATTTTGATCTGTTTGAAATCTCACTACCTCCGGAGAACCTACTATGTGGCTAATCCGTTACAACAGGATCTTGAAATCTTCTGTAGAAGTACTCATAGCAGTAACTGATGGTTTTTTTGTGATCCTGTTGTAATGAGGAACCTGTTAGACAACTACAAGATCGTGTACACATCAATGTGAAGGCAACCTTATATTCATATGGATCACTTTGAAGTATTTATTCTATACATGAATCAGTACTTACATGTAATGTGTTATGTATGTACCTAAGTAACCTAAGAAGCCTAGTCTTATCACTCAAACAGCCTGCAAGTAAAGATGTAAGGATGATCAAAATTGATGTACTTTGTCCAATATGGCTGATACTTGCTTATCCCCATCTCTGTCCATGGTTTCATGTGTCCGTTGAAATGTATAACAGCTGATCTTTCAATCTTCTTTGCATCGATTCCTTTATCATAACCCAGTCCAAGTAAGTGCCATTTGCTCTGAAGTGGTTGTGTCAGATTGTAGAACGTTATGAGCCCTGGTGGCAATGTTCCAAGTTTCCATAGAGTCCGGTTTTCGTTCTGCAAAAACCAGAAGAATAACAGATCAATCTTAACTTAATATCTACAACAGTTTTAGATGAAAGATAAGTACCAAAATCCAAGAAGAAGAACTGACCAGGTTTTGCCAAAAGTGATAAGTTTCTGTAATGTTGTTCTTCTTCCACTCTTTCAGGTCGAAGATGTTCATCCCATAAGCCCATCCGCAGAACTTCGGATCAAAGTTGTCTGAAATGTGTTTATCACTGAAGTTTAAGTAAGTGTCAAGGCGATGGAAGGTAACACCACAGGTTTCTACTGCACCATTCACTTTCCCTTTAAGATCTATGGACCACAGGGGAGTTAAATCCTTCTGAACAACCACATCATCGTCAAGAAACAAGATTTTCTCCAACTTTGGGAAGATCCTCGGGATGTAGAACCTCAAGTGGTTAAGCATTGACATGTATTTCGGGTACCGGTACTTGAGGTTTTCTGAGCCTGATTCAACTGATTCAGATCTCGCTGTTTTGAAATAGAACTTCTTCATAGCTGCTGACTCGAGCTGTCTCAAAACTGGAGAGTAAGATGAGTTGAGCCAAGTAAAATCTTCAAACCTTTGGACATGGATGGTGGCGTCTCCAGGAGGGTTCAACAGAAACCACATACTCATTGCTCCAAAATTGAGTTTATCAGTAACAAGGTGGAAAACATGCCTTGAAGGATCCTGCCAAAACAAAGCCAGTAAGTTTAAATCTTCTGTTCTTGCAACAGTCTTTGAGTCTTACTAGTGATTGATCCATTACCTTTGCATTCATGACTGTCGAATTGACAACAACTGATGCAGCCAATACATTATCAGAGAAGAGAGCGTAGTGGTAAAGTTTTGGATTCTCCAAATTCTCCCTTCTTGGAAAATTTCTCATTGGTAAAGGCAGGAGATGATACTCTAGAGTCAAGCGCATGGTCAAGCAGTGGATAGCATCTGGTAGTGCCTTGGAAGCTAGCTGAGTCAAGAACGTTATATAAGTCTGCGTGTTTTCGAGTTCTTCTTCAACTGTTTGTAGCATTGCTCTCAGCTTATTTGTCACCAACTTGCATTCATATAGCTGCTCGTGTGCTCTAGCCAGTATTTGTCCCATGTCTCTTATACTATCAAGAACTCTGCTACAAATAACAAAAGAATCAAACATGTTATGACTCTCATGTTAAGAACACTATGTACTTGCTGATGATATTACCTCTGCTGCTGATCAATATCAGTCGATTCTTCCTCCCAAGCAAGTTTCATTAGTTGTGTTTCTATTTCTTCGTGCAAGGCGAGATTGTTGGTCATCTTTGCAAGACCACTGTAAACTCTTGCCATAATGATTTGATCTTGCATCAGACGTAACATATCTTCAAAATTCTTGCCCCTCCGGTATTCATTTTTCCAAATGGTGTAGTTTCCTAGTGGTGCAGAATCAACAGATCTGGAACGTGCCATGGCTGCCTTCTCAAACTTTTGAATACTATCATCATTCATCAGCTCATTAGCCCTTTCCAATCTTTTTTCCTGTCTCAGGCTCTATGAAAAAACACAACAGAACATACCAATCAGATAAAGCAACCATCTCACACATGTGAACAGAGTAGAGAAAGATAAAAAGTTACCCTTTCATGCAACATCTCTGGTGTATCATTCAATGCTTTTGATCCTTTTCCAATCCAGGTTCCATGACCAAAACCAGGAACCATTTTGTCCTCGTTTTCCTTCAAACAACAAGCATCAGTAACTTCTCAAGGTCAAGAAAGTAAAAAGAGGTCAAGAAAGTAAAAAGAACCATAAGTATGATTGTACCTCAGAAGAAGTGTGAACTGAATTATCCATTGAATGATTCTTCCTGAGTGAATCAAGGCTCAAAGGATTTTCACTGTATGTGATCGCACTGATAGCATCAAGGATCTGTTTCAAACACTAGTGAGTACTTGTACCAACAAAGGAAGAAGGAAAGCAGCAAAACGGAGAACACCAAAGGACCTCTTTTGTGAAAAGAGATGGAACAGATTTCAGAGCTTCACGTTCTCTCCAGTTAAGATCCTGAATAAACAACCATTCAACAACACATTTCAAGATTTCTTTCAAATCTTTCAGTACAATGTGATGATCGTAAGTTGATAACGTTACCTTGTCGATGAAGTTATTCCGAAAAAATTCTTTATCTGAAAGAATTTGCAGAAATAAGAACAGAAACTTTTAGCATCAGTGCGAACAATGGGAAATCATAAAGAAAACCCTCTCAAGAAAACTTATTTCACAACAAATCTCCGATCATCAAGTCCGCAATCAAGAAAAACGAAAGACTCAGAGGAAAATGTAAAAGGAGCAGAAAACGAAAACAGAGAGACGCCATAAGATTTGTGACAAAGAAACGATCAATGGTGGAAAAAGAACGAACCAAACGATGAACGCTTGTGAAGTCTGTAGCCGATCATGAAGGTGGAATAAACGAGAAATAATAGAAACCCCAAAACCACCGATGTCACACATTGTCGATAGAGGTCTCTGCACCTAGATCTTCGTTGGATTCTCCTCGCCATCGTGAACGTGAAACACTAATCGAATGTAAGAGACGATCGCCAAATTCAGTTGCTCGCTCTCTCTCTAACTCTAAGACTCTTTCTCTTTGCTCTTCTCTGATCTGTGTAGAACTCTTAACAAACATTCAAATCCGCATTATATATGCAGCGGAAACACCTTAACGGCGTCGTTTACTGTAACACCCTAACGACGTCGTTTACTGTAACACCCTAACGACGTCGTAACAAAAACGTAACAATTTCCTTTTCTTTTTGGTAAACATGTATAAAAGAAATTTCCATTTTTATTGATCGAGTGATTTCCATATTTTAATATAACATGTGTATAAAAGAAATTTCCTTTTTGTTTTTCCGAAACGACCTAACATCTCCTCTGCTTATAAATATAGTCGTAATCTCTTCTTACTTCTTCGAGAGAAATCAAAATTGTATCCTGAGAGAGAAAGTTCTAAAGCAAGCATATCTTTTCGTGTTCTTCTAAAGCTTTGAATCGCAACTATTTTCGTATGAATTTATTCGTCTCCACCAATTTTTACTTTTAGTCGATTGATCTCAACGATACTTGCCGTGGCGGTGGATGAGAGGCCGCAGCATGCGTCGATCATAATCTCCACAAACCCTATCACCGGAGAGAAGAAGGCCCAATCTCATAATCACAGTCCTCCTTGTCTGTTTCAATTAGGGTTGATGCAGTTATGACTCAACAATAACACCAATCTCATAATTCTCTCTTTCTTGACTTGTAAGTTATCTCCAAATCCTCTCAGCTTTTCTTTATTTTCTTCTGTTTCTAAGTTTATTATTTATCAAAAAAAAAAAACAAAAAAAAAAAAAGTTTATTATTTATCCCTCTCACCCAATATTGACTCCTTTCTTCGTTTTATTCAATTTCAGCCTATTGGAAATTATCGCCTACTAAATTTGTGGACAAACACTATCATCAAAACTTATTCCCTGTAAGTTATTTCTTCTATTAGTCGAACAATGTACCTCTTTTAATTTCCTTTTCTTCTCTTTTCTCTTAAGAAATATTTTGATTTTAGTATTTTAATTATTGATTTTTTTTTATTAATGTTTTGTGTTTTTTTTTCTTTTTTTATAAGTGTTAAATTTTTTAATTTTGTGTAAACTAATTGGATACAACATCCAAACCCCTAAGAGGTGTTCTAGGTTCAATATGGTTTACACATGATTAAATTTTTAACACTTGTTTTTTTTTCTAAATGTTTTTGTTTTTGTTTTTTTTTTTTTTTGATAAGTGTTAAATTTTTAAATTTTGTGTAAACTAATTGGATACATCATCCAAATCCCTAAGAGGTGTTCTAGGTTCAATATGGTTTACACATTATTAAATTTTTAACACTTGTTTTTTTAGAATGTTTTTTTTTTTGTTTTTTTTTGATAAGTGTTAATTTTTTTAATTTTGTGTAAACTAATTGGATACATCATCCAAACCCCTAAGAGGTGTTCTAGGTTCAATATGGTTTACACATAATTAAATTTTTAACACTTCTTTTAAAAAAAAAATGTTTTGTTTTTTTTGTTTTTTTATAAGTGTTAATTTTTTTTAATTTTGTGTAAACTAATTGGATACATCATCTAAACCCCTAAGAGATGTTCTAGGTTCAATATGGTTATAAGTGTTAATTTTTTTAATTTTGTGTAAACTAATTGGATACATCATCCAAACCCCTAAGAGGTGTTCTAGGTTCAATATGGTTTACACATAATTAAATTTTTAGCACTTGTTTTGTTAAAAATGTTTTGTTTTTTTTTTTGTTTTTTTATAAGTGTTAATTTTTTTAATTTTGTGTAAACTAATTGGATACATCATCAAAACCCCTAAGAAGTGTTCTAGGTCCAATATGGTTTACACATTATTAAATTTTTAACACTCGTTTTTTCTTTAATCCTTAAGAAGTGTTCTAGGTTCAACATGGTTTACACATAATTAAATTTAACAATGAGTTTCTTTTTAAAATTTTGATTAAATTTACATATTAAAATTTTTACAAATAATATTTTAATTAAATTGCTTTAAGTTATACATAATTAGATGTTTTATACTTATTCCCATAAATAAGATAGAAGATTACTTGCTTATTTACGTTACAAACTTCATTGCTTTTTCACATTGAAAAAATCCACAAGTTAACCAAAAGTCAACATTTTTATATAGTATCAGAAAAAAAAAAAACATATTGTATGGAGAAAAATGCGAGATTGGCCCCAAGCTACATTTATCGCATCCCATGCAATCTAAAGTTTCATGAGAAATAAGCCTAAGACTTAAACATGGAATTTCAAAGCTCTTATTGGTACGTAAGTCTTCCAAGTATGAATCTTTTAGTCATTTTGAAAGTCATTTCAAGTCAAAATGAGCCAAACCCCTAAACACAACAAACAAGCTAGAAGATAGTTTGTACATCAATATAAAGGCAACTTTCATATGGATCACTTTAGAGTATTCATTCTATAGATGTTTATACCTTGACAATCATTACTTACATATATGCATTATGTATCTAACAAAGTGGCATCTTTATAGGCTGCGAAGCCATAACGTCGTCGTTTAATCGAAGACCTAACGGCGTCGTTTAGCTTAAGCCACGCTGGCAAACTCACGCCGTTGTTCAATGAAAATCGTAACGCGTCGTTTTAAATAATACCAGACTGGCAACTAAAATGCCGTCAGATTATGCCTTATTGGGCTTATTAAACATAAAAGCCCATAACTTTACACACAAAAATATCTGACAATAAATAGTTAAATCGAGTTTAACGAAAGATTCAGATCCTTATTCTTCTCCACCGGATCTCGAAATCGGAGAATTAGCTAAACGATGGCCGCCGACGGAATATTCCGCAGCATCTTCGAAGGTTGTATCTCCGGCCTTGATTCCGCCATCGAGCGGCGTCCTTACCACAAAAACTGCGGATGTGCTCTCCACGATAAATCAAGCGGCGCTGGGAAAAATCAAAATCAACGACGGCCGCCGTCTTGTCGCCGCCACGGAAGCTCAGAGAGCATCTCGTTCCCGATCCGACGGTCTTGGAGCGAAGGCAACATCATGGCTATGAATCTCTTCTCCTCATCGTCGTCTTCTTCTAATCTCCAATCGCTTTCTTCGTCTTCTTCGCTCTCAAATCTGGCATCAGATTTACCGGTGGATGATGCTGCGACGGAGGAATCGAGCAGATCTAATAAGCAGCTACGATGGACGATCGACGAAGATGATTGATGATTGATGATGATGATCAATTCCAGGTTGTTAACTTTTGCTAATCTCTGTTTAATTAATTTTCTTAATAATTGTATTTGAGGACAAAATAAATGTGTGTCTTGTATTTTTATTTTTTTGTTAAAGAAACGAAAATGTTGGACGGTTGTTTACAATGGAAATTTTGAATGGTTAGCATATAAACTTGTTAAGAGAGGTTAATTTAGCAACTTTAGCAAAAGTTATTAAGGAGTCTGTGTTGATCACATTCGTTAAGACAGTAAAATGTGATTGTGAAACTTCAAATCTTTGGCAATAAAGCATCTCTCGTTCCTGTAATTATCGTAACACATTCATCGACACAACATTGAATATAAGCATATGATTAATCGTTAATCAAGAACATAAATATTCACTCCATAAAACACATAATAAATTAGTGACATTCATCAAAACGTTGAAGACTTCATACATTTCAGCATTTCCTTCACGCACGTGAGTTCCGACAAAGAGGACATGAACCATGAATCTTGAGCCATACATCAATACATTTCACGTGGAAGCAATGGTCACATTCCGGTATGAACCGTACGGTCTCTTTGCTTGCATACTCTGATAAACAAATCGGACATACAATACCATTAGTCCCGGAAAGCCTTCTACTTTCTCCCAACTCCATTTTCTTGAATGTTTCTATCGTAGATTGGTCGAGACCCCTTGTGGCCCTAACCTCTCTTGGCTGCTGCATTACGGTTGCGGCTGCGATAGCTAGGGAATCGAAGCTTTCGGAGTTGTAAAGGCGGATAGCGATACAAGTAGGAAAGACAAAGACGGTGACTGCTGACAAGCTTATAACTAGTACCAGTACTCCACTACTTAAATGTCCTGTCAAAAAGCCAATTAGCAATAAAAATAAAGTTTACTTAGATTAGATCAAATGCCACGCTAGTTGTGTCACTAAGGCGTTACATGGAGTCAGACATTTTAGTTTTTGCGTGTGGAATGAGAGATACTTCCGTAGTTGGTGTAAAATATTGGATTTGTTAAAAGGTAGTTGTCATAATATATAATCAATAGTAATTTCCTCATGTCAAATTTAAATCCTATAATAATAATCAATAGTTATTTCCTCATGTCAAATTTATATCCTATAATAGTAATCAAGAGTTATTTCCTCATGTCAAATTTAAATCCTACTATGATTTTTCTATACTTGAAAAAATCTTAACCTAAAGAAAATAACTTGAGGTTGAAAATTCCACCAAAACAGATAACCTCTTCTTCATCCTTACCATCAATGGAGTTCTTTTGGATCGTAAGGGAAAAAAAAAAGAGCAAGAGAAAACGATTGAGTTAGTACCGGATTTTTTAGCATCAAAGCATTTGATTTCGAGGGATGCCTTGTTCTTAAATCCACATCTCAAGTAATCTACCTCACAACCTCTGCAATCAGGCGAGTCCCACTCCAACAGGAGGTTTTGATTGTTGAGGTAACTCGAGAATCTTGTTTCTCCAAATGGCGAATTAGACGGAACATGTAATCTCTTCACGATCTGACAAGAAGGTAGCATAGACTGTGCGAGAGCAAAATTAGACGTGGCGAAGAAGGATGAAGTAGAATTGCTTAGGCAAGGAATGGACGGATACCAAGACGGCAACACGACCTCATTAGGACAAGTCAAGAATGTGTATAAGATATCAAAGCGAGGAGAGAAAGGAGATCCTGAAATATTGAAGGTTAAAAGCCGTTTAGCCAAACAGTTTTCAGGGTCGTTGATATAAATCTGTTGCTTTCTGTAGTCGATATACTGAACAAAAAATGTTCCGGACATAGGAAGTTCTAGGACTGTATTATTGAGATTGGTGCAGACAGTGGCGGACCCACGTGAAAGGGAGGTGGGTCAGCTGACACACCTTAAAAATTATATATTAGATAGTTTCCTCAAAATAAGGTATAAGCAATTGGCTCATTTGGTAGAGATCTCTGAAATTGACCCCCCTAATATGAGTTCGATGACTCAAAATGACACTAAATTTTTGTTTTTATTACCCTTTTCTCTTGGGCCATAGCCCAAATATTAAAAAAATGTCTCAAAACCAATTAAACTTGTATTTGGAAATTTTGTTTGGTATGTTGTATAAGAGATTAGAAGACTGAGTATATATATAAATATATTATTTGTATAATATAATTTTTTGACCCCGGTAAAAAAAATTTCTGGGTCCGCCACAGTGCAGAGGAGATTGAATCTCGCATGGTCACAGAAAGGGAAACGGATGGGGACTTCTAAGGGTCCACATATGAGTGGTCTCAAAAAAGATGAAGAACATTTACTAGGGTTTGAGGCGTGTCGAAGAGGGAAGAGGGAAGAGGAAGAGGAAGAGGAGGAGGAAAATTAAAGGGAAAAGTTGTTTTGAGAATGTCATAATGTTATTCGATATAGTGTACTATTGAAAATGTTACCAGTAATAAACGAAAATTTATTAAAGAGTTTAATCATTCTTATACTTAGTTAAGAAAGTTAGAAAAGTCTACCTTTTTAGAAGAAAAGTCATTTGATTGTATAACAACTATATTTCATAAAACCCAACAATATATTGGAATTTATAAGAAAAGTGATAGTTTATCGCCAAAAAGTTTTTGAAATGGAATAATATAAATTTCATGTATACTACATAGACGACCAATGGTTGATAATAATTTAAAATTTAAAATGATTTTTTTATAAGAAAGATGAGATAAAATCTTAGATCCAATCGCCACACGCAGTTGCAAAAATCCTCGTCGTGATCATAGTAGTATCCATCTTGGATTTTAAATCCCTTCAAGATTAGAATCCCTGAATCATACAACTCCAATCCCAAGAATTTTCTCTCTTGGCGTCATCACGTTTCCGGGCAAACCTATTGAATTAGGTGGGTTTCATACACATATAAGAGCACACAGAGTGTTGCATAATAAGCCATGCACACATTTATAATTAAATTCGGTGTGGAAGCAAGCAATGATGGCTTCCTCCTGTATGCACGCACAATAAAATATATTTACTCGCATAAACGTACTCTGATAAACAAATAGGACAAACGATATCGCGCGTTAATCCTTAAACAATCACATAATCTTCATACGTTTAATAATACACACACAATAATTTTTTGTTTTGTTTGTTTGTTAAAGAACACAATAATTAGTGGCATCATTAATTAACACGTTCATACATTTCAGCATTTCCTTCACGCGCTTGAGTTCCGACAAAGAGGGCATGAACCATGAATCTTGAGCCACACATCAATACATTCCACGTGGAAGCAATGGTCACATTTCGGTATGAACCGTACGGTCTCTTTGCTCGCATACTCTGATAAACAAATCGGACATACAATACCATTAGTCCCTGAAAGCCTTCTACTTTCTCCCAACTCCATTGTCTTGTATGTTTCTATTGTAGATTGGTCAAGACCCCTCCTGGCCATAACCTCTATTGGTTGTCCGCTCGGAGAATTGAACCTCCGGGAGTTGCACATACAGAACATACAGATACAAGCAGCAAAGAGGAGTGCTCCTCCGATTATGGACAATATTATAAGTACTGCTACTACTCCACTGCTTATATGACCTGCCAAGTGCCCATTAATGAAAAAAATAGTTGAGACTTAGGTTTCCAATCAAGAAAAACGGTTTTGGTTCGCTTTCTACTACACTGAGAATACTTCCGTAGTTGAGGGGACATAATATATTGGATTTGAAATTTTCTTAAATCGCAATTAAATAATAATCAATAGTCCAATTTAGTTCCAACTATGCTTTTCCGATACTTGCTTATTGAGTAAATAATTTACTTGGAAAACGTAAACCTAAATATTTATTTCTTGGAGTTGACGAAAACAGAGTGCATCTTCTTCATCCTTACCCATTAATGGAGTTATCTTGGGTCACAAGGAATGAAGAACAAGGAGAGAATAAAAAAAAGTGAGTTCGTACCGGATTTTTTAGCACCAAAGCATTTTACTCCGAGGGAGGCTTTGTTCTTGAATCCACATCTCAAGTTATCTATCTCACAATCTCTGCAATCAGGCGAGTCCCACTTCAACACGAGGCTTTGATTGAGGTAGCTCGAGAATCTTGTTTCTCCAAACGTCGAAGAATCAGCCGGAACATATACTCTCTTCACGATCTGACAAGAAGGAAGCATTGATTGTGCGAGAGCAAAATTAGACGTGGCGAAGAAGGAGGAGGTGGAATTGCTTAGGCAAGGAATGGACGGATACCAAGACGGCAACACGACCTCATTAGGACAAGTCAAGAATGTGTATAAGATATCAAAGCGAGGAGAGAAAGGAGATCCTGAAATATTGAAGGTTAAAAGCCGTTTAGCCAAACAGTTTTCAGGGTCGTTGATATAAATCTCTTGCTTTATGTAGTCGATATACCGAACAAAAAATATTCCGGACATAGGAAGTTCTAGGACTGTATTTTTGAGGTTAGTGCAGAGGATACTGAATCGCGCATGGTCACAGAAAGGGAATCGGATGGGGACTTCTAAGGGTCCACATCTGTGTGGTCTCGAAATAGAAGAAGAACATTTATTAGGCTTTGAGGCCTGTCGGAGAGGGAAGAGGAAGAAGAGGACGAAAAATAAAGGGAAAAGTTGTTTTGGAAATGTCATAATGTTGTTTGATGTACTAAGGAAAATGTTATTACTAGTTGATATTAAACGAAAATTCTGTTAAAGAGTTTAACCATTCCCATTCAGAGAAGTCTACGTTTTTTAGAAGAAAAGTCAAGGAAGTGTGTATGTTCCAATTCTAATGGAATATGTCGTTGGATAAACTACATAATCATAAACCAAATTTATTGGAATCTTTAAGAATTAATATCTTATCACCAAAAAATTTTTGAAATTGGATTCAAAGTACAAATTTCATGTATACTAAATAATAGACCATATGGTTTAGATCACATCTATTAATATCCTCTCTTGTCACTTTTTCTTTGCATAGATAAAGATACTTCTTTTGCTATGCATCTTTTTCAGTATGGTTAGTTTTTGCAATACATAAACAAAGCTTGAAATAAAGATAAGAGTATAACTATAATTAAAAGTGTAAAAAAGTGAATTGTAAACAAATATAATCGGCTATTACATATCCACTACAATCTTAATCAGCTAGCTTGACGCGCTGGAGAAGGCGAATTCCGACAAAGAGGACACGAACCATGAATCTTAAGCCACACATCTATACATTCAGAGTGGAAGCAATGATCACATTCCGGTATGCACCGCACGGTGTCTTTGCTAACATACTCCGATAAACAAATGGGGCAAACAATATCATTAGTTCCCGGTAATCTTCTACTCTCTCCTAATTCCATTTTCTTATATGATTCTATTGTATACTCGTCAAGACCCGTCGTGACTATAACCTCGTTTGGCTGCAAGGCGGCGATAGCCACGTTGCGTTGTATCCGGGAAGCGAATCTTTCAGAGGTGCAAACTCCGATTGCAATACAAGTAGCAAAGATCATGACCGGTCCAATTATGCTCAGGATCATAATTTTAAGCACTTGTAGTCTCGTGTTGTTGTTGCCTGCCAAAATCATGTTTCCAAAGATCAATTTAATAAAGCCACCATGTACGTATTGTTTTATCTTTGTTTTCAACAAAACTGGTGATAACACAACCAACTAGCACACATTAATAAACAACACGTCATGTTTACATATTATTAATCTTTTATATTCGTAATACAGTATAAGGGTTTATAAAATAAAAAAATATAAGGGTTTATATACAGAGTACGACATTCTAACGTGTGACATGAAAAGATTGGATTTGATCTTTTGAAAAATGTAATTAAATAATTAACTAATCAATAGTCAATGGCTCAATGTCAAATGTAATGCCTACTAGATTTTTTGTCTAGTTGTTTAATGAGTGGATAATTATTTGAAAACCCCCAATAATCAAAGATTCCTTCAATTTGAAGGTTCCGCAACTATTAATGAAGTAATAAGACCTAAGAAGAGAAAGAATTGGAGTAATTGGTACCGGATTTTTCAAATGGGAAGCATTTGACTTGGAGAGAAGTATTGCTTATGAATCCACATCTCAAATAATCCCTCTCACAATTGCTACAACTTGGTGAATCCCATTTCAGCCAAAGGTCTTTTTCGTTGACATCAGTCGAGAATCTTGATTTTCCGGCAGTAACTCGCCGAGAAACCGGAATAGCTAATGTCTTGACGATCTGACAAGAAGGCAGCATAGATTTTGCGAGATCCAAACTAGTTGTAGCCAAGAACGAGGTCGTTGAATTGCCTAAACATGGGATGGAGTCAAACCTGGACGACTTTGCAACCGCATTAGGACAGCTCAAGAACGTGTAGCTGGCAAGGTAGAGAGCAGAGAAAGGAGATCCTGATATGTCAAAGGTCAAAAGCTTTCTTGCCAAGCAATTTTCAGGGTCATGGAGACGAATTTGCTGGCTTATATAGTCGATCTCTCGGACAAGAAATGTTCCGGAATTAGGAAGCTTGAGAGCTGTCTTGGGACTACTTGTGCATTGAAGATTAAATCCGGCATGGCCACAGAACTCCTGTTGTTTCGAGAGTAACCAGAAAGGGAAACGGACATGGACATCGTCAAGACCGCACGAGGAAGAAGAGCATTGATTTGTGTGTGAAGCGTGTAGGAGAGGGAAGAGGAAGAAGAGGTAAAGAAAGAGTTGTTTTGAGAAAGTCATATTGTGGTTTTGGTAATGGGAGGGACATGTAGACTTGTTATTATTTCCCTTAATATAAATAGTTCAAACTTGAGAGAGATCTATCTTTTTTTAAGAATATTATTATAGTCGGAGGATCTATAGAAAGGTCGTACTTGTTCTCTTTGGATGATGCTCGCTAACAAACAAACCTTGTGCTACAGGAGGAGCGGATTCAATATGAAAGTAACGATTGTGAATTGATTCTGCTCATCTTTTCACTTATTTCTCTGACTCTTTCCCATCGATTTGCCTTTTGAAGTTCCTGAAAGAGTTTGTAAGGTTTGAAGAAAGAGTTAAGGACTGACTTTAGTGACAGTTTTGGAGTTTCACAGTAGTTTTGATCTCAATTCATTGCTTATTAACAGAGACATGTATAGCCTAGAGAAGAGATAAATGTTACAAAGAAAGAAAGCTATTGTAAACACTTAAATTGTCATTACCATGTAATATGTCTGAGTGAAGTTAACAAAACACCTTGAACATGTCCAAAGAATGACAGAAATGAAAGAGTTTAAAAAAATACAAAAGCCAACAGGTTTATAAAAAGCAAACCAAAGAGTATATACCAGAGTTTTGAGTTAAAACAAGAACCAATTTTAGTGTTCCTGAGAGTGATCGAGATGGTAATCCATCACATCGGATAGAGCTTCGAGGAATGCAGCTTCGCTCGTCCCTGGAAGCACCGCTTCTTGAGCTTCCTCTACCATTTCCTCCACTAGAGACTTCTTGCTAAGTGTTTCTCTGCACATTATGGTTCCAATCTCAAATGCTGTTAGTCCTCTTTCCACTCCTTTCTTCAGTAGCATCGTTGAGATCCTGAGCGTTCGAGCTGTCTCAGCTGGCATTTTCCATCCATGGAACTTCAATAGATCAATATCTTCCTCTGCATCCAGTGATCTTATGTAGTCTAGAGTCTCTGCAGAGTACGGTTTCCGGGCTTGTGGCCAATATAGCCACTCAAACGTGCAATCTTCAAACTGTTGCAGGAAAAAAAAGTTAGTTTCATGACAATGTCAACAATCTAAGGAAAACTGAATCTAAGAAAGAATAGAAAAAGAGTAAGAGCACTTACACTTTCAGGCAAGCAGTATCCATGGTCTATAGGAACCAAAACAAGCTTTCCGTTTTCGTCCTTGGTCATCAAAATGTTCCCACCGTGTCTGTCTGCGTTGGCCAGTCTAATATCCAGCACAGAAATCTTATGAACTTCTTCAACTGGAAATGAAAGTGGACCCATATCTTCACAGCTGCCATCGTTCTCGGTAAACATCTGAAGTGACCCGATCTTGGTTTTGATTCCTTTGGGATGGTTAAACCCAGGATGCAGACATTCAATCATAGCTGTGGGAGGTACACCAGCAAAACCTATCTCTTCACCGGACATAGATCTGTTTCCACTTTTGGGATGATCCAACACGTAAGCAGCAACTTCCCTTAATGCACCTTCTCCAACCTTTGTTCCTTTCTTCAAACCTTCACCGTTTGGTGAAAGTGGTAAACCCTGTGGATTGTTTTCAGCCATTGGTTCCTCATCTATTGGCTTAAACACACCAACAAATTTGTTGCCTGATGGACCCTGCATGAAATAAGCTCCTCCCGTGCCTTCTCTTGACCTGACCGGAGAATTCCCACTTTTTAGTCCATCTGAAGCAGACTTAATCATATCTTTAACCACCAGAGGTACTTTAGCCTTGGAGTTAACAATTACCGGCTCCAAAGAGAGCTTTTTTGGTGGCACAATGCTGACAGCTTCACGACCCTTCTTATCTTTTGCTTGTGGGGCAACAATAGACAACTCAAAGTTCTTCTCCACCGGTTTAGCTCGAACTTTAGCAGATCTCCGCACAAGCAGATGCAAAACCGAGTCATCGTTTCTGCAGATATCATTAATAAGACTCTGGTCTTCCAACTTCTCACCTTCGTAAAGAATTTCCTGTTCATCAGGATCAACAAAGTCTCCACGCTTTTTAGAAATCTGCTTCTTCACATAACCAATGTTCCTCCCTCTCTCAACATGAAACCTGCAGTGTTTCCCACAGGTAGTCTTAACATCAAGAACCTGAAGATCAGAGAGCTTAAGAACCAAGTGAAGAATATTCCCTTCACTAACACCGTAATCACGCATATTAGAATTGCTTCTAGCTAGCTCTCGTCCCCCGAAAACAAGCTTCTGATTCCTCACAACAAAGCCGCGATAAGACTGAATCCGAAGCTTAACAGACTCAATGGAATCAGACTCAAGCACTCGCATAGGTATCACCGTCCCGGGAAGTGTAAGGTAAATCATGATGGTATCGTCAGGGTAAGAATCAGCACAAGAATTGGCACGAACCAGAGGCATAATCAATGGCTCGCTACGAACCGGACTTAAGGCAACACCAGCTGATGACATCTTTTCTTTTCACTTCTTGGAGAAATCTAAGAAATTCTTACGGAAAAAAACAGGATTCGATACAAAATCCCTCAAGCTTATATACAAAAACCGCAATAATCCCTAAAATCCCAAATTCATCGCTTCTTCTTCTTCTTCTTCTTATTGCAGAAACAACAACAATTACAAGCCCTAGGAAAAAACAGAGGAGATCAAACCTAAACAGATCAGGGGTTGATTGATTGATTGATTGCTAAAGGTGAGTCAAATCGAGAGAAGAGGAGAAGCAATTGATGATGTCGTGGATGACGTACCATAAAATAAAAGAGAGAGCGGATTCTTACCAGAAGGAAAGAACCAAAGAGGAAATTGGGACAAGGCGTGGAGCTTTATCGATGATCCAATCCAATAATAGAGAGTTTTTAGGGTTAAATCTAATGGCGTACAAAACAGCTCGCGAAACAATGGTCAAAGACTTTAGAGAGAGAGTGGTTTTTCAAAAGGAAAGTGGTAGGAAGGACACGTGTCTCCACCTCCTTTGCGTAGGTGACGCGTACAATGAAGCTTCTTCTTCTTTAATGTACTTTTTCCTTTGTTTATTGTCAATGGTGTACGGCAGTTTCGTTGATTTTTTACCCTTTTACGGTAATATTCATTTTTCCATAACTTTTTAGCTTGGAGTGGAAACCAAGCCAGAGAGGCTTTAAGGGGTTAATCTCGTCATTATATCACCGTTTAGGATTAGGATGGTTTTTAAAACTTTGGTTATCCGAGTCAATGAACCAGTACAATCGTAACTCCTATGGGCCTACAGATTAAGAGTTGGGCCTTTAATTCGCTTCCTTAACTCGTTTCAGATCTCTCTCTTCTATTCAACGTTTCAGCTATGGAACATGAATATTGGTACAGTTGCATCTTAACCAGGTTCATGAGCATCTAATCAAGACTCAATTTGATAGCTTATTTCTTCGAAATCTCATGTTTGTTTGATCAAAGTAACATCGAGACTTCTCTGTATGTGACTTCTTGACAGTCTTCATCACCTTTATCATCTCCCAAGATCACACCAATTCCAAAAACAAGAAAATCTCTCAACATTTCTAAATAATCCAAAAACCACATCTTTCTACTACCAAAGCTCAATCGTTGATCTACAACAGCTTACCCGAGTCTCTCAAACTTCAGATTACATTAAAGCTTCGTAGAAAGAAATGCACACATTGTGTGATTAAAGCAGAGTAATGCTCTAGTATATTTACAAATTACAGCCATAACTAGCAATGCAAACATACTGATCAAAGCTGAGCAAAGTTTTCATTATTCAATCAAAAGCTTAACATAGTCTTCAAAGCCTCAGGAACAATACTCCTGACTCAAGCAGGAATTAAGCATTACAAATACATCAACCTTGAAAGAAAAAACCCAGAAACTGAACCAACACACAACGGAAGCTTGAAGGTAGAAGATGCGACATTGCATCATGTTCTTATTCATAAAAGAAAGAGATAAAAGGAAAGACTTTTTTTTAGCCCACTATTCATTAACAGGTGATGATCGAGTGAGTGTTCCTTAGATCCCAAAAGATGTTTCAGAGAAGAAACAAGACAATATCTTTGAAAACGATAATCTGGAACAATCCCAAAGAGATGACTATCAAATTCCTTGTCATTTCTTGGTGAACATAATCAGCCAAAATCTCTTCCATTCCTTCATGTATGTGAAATAGTATAGGGATTTTGCGTAAGAAAGAGGCGTTAGTGTAACCTCGAGAAGACGAGAGGCGCGAGAATTTGGCTGCCTTGTTGATATCAGATTGCCCAATTGAAGACGAGATCGAACGATCGGTGACCAGATTGGTTGACTCTGGTTTCAGTTTCTGGGCTAGTGCGAATGGGATTGAAGAGATGTCTCTTCCTAGTGGGTTTCTCACGGCGGCGGTGGCGGACGCGGAGGAGATGTGACTCATCGAGAAAGGTAGAGACTTTGAGAGAGCGGCTCTGTGGGTTTGACGGTGTAGATCGAGGATAGTGCGACGGAGAGACATCGTGGTGGAGGAGAGAATCAGACGGAGAAGGAATTGAAATCGGATCTGATCGGAGAAATAACCCTAAGTGAAATGAATCGGAGCACAATTTTCGTCGTAGAGGTGAAGAAGCATTGATGAATATGGGCTTTATACTGGGCTTTGTAGAGCTACTTGAAGCCCGAAACTAAAATAGAAAACATGGACCATAATGTGAGATTGAGATGCTTGCTTGCTAGTTGCTATGCCATAAAAATAAAATCATGGATCATGGAAGAGGAAATTACATAGTAGTGGTCTAGTGGACTCGTGAGAAACATGATTAATGGGAATGCTTTTGATTTATTTATCAACAAATTGATTTCTAATATTTTGAGCTCATTTCTAGTTTTTTTTTTTAGCTTAATCTCTTGAAATGTCAATATTTCATGAACAATATACACAAGATTTGTTTCACTTCAGAATTTCAAATATACGTGAACAATGTACAAGATAAATCTTAACTTGGTATAACTCTTGCTTAATTGGAAAAACAAAAAACAAAGAGAAAGACATTAAATATTTGAACCTTGCTGCAAAAGTATTGAACTAGAGAAACATCTAAGATGTTCTTGACTACTGCTCAAACATTAGTATGTCTGATGCAAGAAAAAATGCTACATTAAATCCGTTTCAATCCACTAAATTGTGATTTGGTTTATGAGAATCTAAGAAAACTACACATGTCAGTTTGACACATAGACAACAAATAACTGAATATGAAATGTATCCATATGATACAAAGAAAGAAATGTCAAATATCTTTCATACTTTCCTTTATTTGATTTTCTTAAGTGGGAAAAATATTCCCAAAATACATATATGTGAATTAATGATCGACATAGGTATAATAACGTTAGTGTGAATATACGAAAACTGGATTCCTTTCACTCTAAGAAAGAGAAAAGAAAAAAGGATTAATTTTATCTATTTCTAGTTGAACCTGAAAGTTATCTATACTAAAGCAAGAATAGAAAGCTTCACCATCATGTGAAACCTAGCTATCACCAGAAACCTGTGAGCTAGAAGACGGTAATGGCTGCTGCGTCAAGCTGTTCTCGGGGTAAGCCGCTGCTATAAGCTTCTCTTTCGTCAATGGATCTGACCCGTTGTTAGACTTTATCACAAAACTGTGAAACATTGTGTCTTCAGCTAATGATAACTTAGCCTCCATTAGACTAACATTTGAGTTTCTCATTGCTTGTATGATTCTTGAAGCTGGATGTGAATCTAGAGGTGAGACTACTCTTATAACAACCTCTTCATTCATAGCTTGAATGTCAACTTCTGGACTTTCTTCTACTGTTCTTGTGTTTGATTCCGATAAGCTGTTATCTGTTCTTACTCTTTCATCTTCCATGATCTTGACTTTCTCTTGAAGCTCTTTGATGTAAGAAATTGCGTCTCCAAGTAGAGAAGCTTTGTCCATTTTCGAAATGTTTGGAACAACTGACCGTAAAGCGTAGAATCTTTGGTTAAGCTTCTCGCGTCTCTGCCTCTCAGCTTCCACATGGTTCAATGGCTCTTCTCTTCCGTTTGCAGGCTTTCTACCTCGCTTTCTCGGTCTCTTCTCATCAACAACAGAAACTGTTCCTGCTCCTGCTAACAAGCTCACTGGTCTTTTCTCTCTACAAGATTCTGACTTTTCTAGTTGAGTGTTTGTAGATGGATTAGAAGAAGCAGCTACTGATGATCCAGCAAACTCAATCTGCGTCTTGTAATTGTTATCATCTACAACCACATTCACATTCTCTTGCACTTTCACATCTTCTCTCTGAGGTGTGTAACCAAATGTTGGACCTTTATTATTATTATAGCCTTCCCAACTTTGAGGAGTGAACCTGTCATCCAAGTTTCTTCTCACTTCGAGTTTCTTAGGATACGCGTGAGCTCCACGATCCGAGTTATTCAAATCCTGCCCGAAAAGCTTGTGAATCCCTCCACTCATGTTAGTGTTTGAAGTCACCAGTAATGGTTGCGAAACTCTCCTCATGAACAAAGCTTGAACAGACTTAACCAAGCCAATGTTTTCAGGCAAAGACCAAACAGAACCAAGCTCAAGAACACCAGCATCAGTAGGAACCATAACGATCGTTCTGATTCCCGCAGATTTCGCCATAAAAGACCTGAAACAATAGTCAGACTCGGAGTTAACCGCATCAGAGAGCCACACATGTTTCCCTGAAGCATAACACCTCCCCGGACCGCCTTCACCGGGATTGAAGAAGAAATACATGGAAGCTAAGAAGAAAATCTCAGTAGCAGTAACTTTCTCTAAGCTCAAAGCATAATTGTCTTCATCAGATCCACCAAACAACCTATGAAGCTTCTGCAAAACTCTCTTCCTCATATCTTGCCATGTCTCTTCCTCTACTCCCATGTTGCTAAAATTATAAGACCTAACAACTTTTGATTCCTCTTCCTCATTAGGCTCTCGACAACACCCATCTCCCCAACCTAAGACTTGTTGTCCGGATCTAGACATGGTTTGTTGCCAGAAAATAGCGTAGTTCCAGCTGAAATTCTCCGAGTTTGGCCAATCTACGAGACTAGAGAGCTTCTTATTCAGACTATCATCAGTTCCCATGACCAGAAACAGATTCTGATTCGAATTAGAGTTTGCTCGGAGAAAATCAGAAGCTAAATGCCCTAAAACAGCAATAACCACCGATTTCTCTTCATCATCCCAACCCAAATCACTAATATTCATCTTTCTTTATCTCCCAGATTACACAAAATCCTACCAACCCCAAAACCAGAAAAATCTCTGTAACGGAGAAAACCAAACCTTTCTTCTACACAACTCAGTGATTGACTCAATGATGCTTGAAACCATATAAACTCGAGTCTCTCCAGCTTCAAGATTCCAGTAACCAAATTCCGGAGAAAAAAAGGTCGGAACTTCGAACAATTTGAAGAATACCCACCAGAAAAAAATGCAAACCCAGTGATGAATCACGCTCAAGAGAAGCCACCGCCGGTTAAGAAAACACTCGCCGGAGAAAGATCCCAAAAAGCTTTGACTTTTACAAGAAATTGAACAATTGAATGAGCTTTGCAACTAGAAAAGTCATACAGAGAAAAGAAAAGAGTATGGAAACAAGAGGTTGAAGAAGAAGATACAGTTAGAGAGAGAGAGGGAAGAGAGAAGGAGACAAGACTTGCTGGGGGTAATTGAAGTTCGTATGAAAGCTCTTTTTAAAAACCTAACCATGGTTACTTATGCACGTTAATTACTTTGGTTATTCAAGTTAACCATGGTTGAGTTTCCCAAGGCTTTCGAATAAGAAACCCGATTTAATCTGTGATTATAAACTCACTTACTTTGATTGTTTCTCTCCGAATCTTATTTCAATTTGCATTTTTGCAAATTTTTTGATCCATATACCCCTAAATCTCGCTTGTCTTTGAACCAAATCCAATTAATTTCATAAAGTAGTAAATAACTGATGGTGATATTAGTGAAACAACTATATTTGCACTCGGTAAATTTTAGAGAAAGAAATATATACTACACACGTGTGTATCTAACTACATGAGAGATTCAAATTATAGTATGTACTTAAGAAGTATAGATCACATGGTATAAATATTTTAAAATTGATTCTGTACTAAATAGTACTAAATTAATTGTTTGTTTTATTTTCCTCTACCAATAAAAATAACTCACATGCATAAAGAAACAAAAAAATATTGTCTGAATTTGTCTGGTGGGGTTTTGGTTATTTCAGACATCGTTATTAACGTGGGTCCATTTATTTAATAGGACTCTGGGTATATTATTCTTATCAATAGTCCTTAAATTCAATATAAAAACAGTACTTTCTTTCTTTATTTAGCTTTTAAAATTGGAAAGAAAATTATTTGTCGCATAGGATTTGCGTGAATCTCATGTCCAACAGTAACGTTCAACAAAAGGAGTCTCGTTTGTGAGAGAGCACATGTGAGACTTCAACCAACTTTTCTATTTTCATGTGTTTATAATTTTCTAATTGTTTTCTCGCCTTGATTTCAAATTAATTAGAAAACATTGATTTGTATAATTACATTATTACATTTATTACCTGTTTTTAAGTATTATTGCATGAGATAAGCATCATCACATTATGGGAATATTTTCGTATACTAATCTAAAATAGTTTGACAGAATTAAAAATTGACTTATAAATAAACAAGGAGATTCAATAAAATACTCTCTCTTTTTCTTTTTAGCATACGTTGATATACTATACATTAAAAATTTTGAATAAAAGAGTTATGTCTATTACACATTTTTTCGTCCAAAAAAAAAAAAACTTTTACGCATTTATATTATCAGGGATTTGTTCACAGTCTATCTTCTCTTTCGCTTACTGGTGATGATGTGTGATAGTTTGATCCAGAAAAACAATCTTAAGAAGTTCTTAGTGATCTAAGCTTCATGTATCAACGTTATATTTGATTAATATCTATATACATAATATATTTATAGCACTAAAAATTGGTGATAATTGATAAGTATTGCATAGTTAAAAAAAACGTAATACAAAAATTAAAATGTTACTTTTTCGGATTAGTAGATATCGAGTTCTATATGAGTTATGAATGCGAAATTATCAATGTAAAACTAAAGACACACCACAATACCAAAACGGAAGTTAAAAATAATGAAATGTGGAAATGTTTAAACAACATGTTTGTATGTGGTTATAAAAATTGAATCAATCGTTTTTGTGATAACAATTCCGAAATTATAATTATAGAGGAGCTCAAACTTAAAAAAAAAACGTGATGTATAATCTACAATATTGTGACGTGACATGGAAAATTTGACCTCTTTTTTGTAGATTAAGATGATATCATAACGCCATGATTGGTGTCTCTTTGAGTAATTTGGAAGTCGCACCAACTTATATATAAATTCTTTATCTTCTTATAGAGCAACTCCTATCTCATATATATATAACCAAAAAAAACTCTTATCTCATATATATTTAATCAAGTATACAACTGTAACATAAATACTGAACGTGTTTTTTAGGGCTCGTTTAATACTATATTTGAGTATTTGTCTTGAATATTCTTTCGTTTTGAAGAGAATAGTTACAAAACAAAATTAGCTCTATCATTATGAATTTCTATATATCATTTTAGATGTTTAGAGAACCTTCAAATTTAACTTCATTTGTAGATTTAAGTTTGGTATATTTATATTTAATAAAACTAAATAGTTTAAAACAAATTCATGACGAGTTTTTTTTTGAATCAATTATGGATTTGCCATTTTTTGGGATGGCATTTGTGGATTTTGCCCTTTTTTGAATAGTTTATGGATTTTGCCCTTTTTCAGGCTACGGAAATATGATTTAACATGCGTTTTATTCGTTATGTTTGGGTTTAGTCGGTTGTGGTTGTTCTTAGGGTTTAGTATTTTGTATAAACTACGTATTTTTACCAAAAAAAATCCGAAATTCGTACATTTTTAAGTGTTAGAAAATGGCATATCCGTAAGATTTTATTAAAAATGGCAATTTCAAAAGATTTCTATAAAAAATGGCAAAATCAACAATAATCCCTTTTTTTTTTTAACATAGTGAGAGTAACGAATAAAATAAAATAAATTAAAAGTCATGGATAAGAGTAGGAGAGTAGGGCTTACTAACGTATGGCAGAGAGCGAATGTGAGGAGAAATGTGGGGTCAAGTGGAGACACTCGTGACTACGGTGGTCTTAATTGCAGACAATAACTTCTCCTGTCTCACATGCCTTTTCAAAACGTAAAATGTAAAAATGATTTGTCGTGTTTCACTTCTTTTGTCCTCGCAATTTCTCATTCCTTTTCTCTATTCTTGCTAAAAACGCGTCTAACCACTTGGTAAATGAGAAGTTGGAGAAGATATGAACTTCTAATCAATTTCACATTCTTTTTTCTCAATTCGAAACGCGTCTATTCATTTATCAGTTGGAAACTGTAAAAGTATCAATTTGAATGGTTATAGTCGGCCACAGTTTTGTGATGCCTAAAACCCAATTTAAATTTGGTGTCCTGTTACTTAACAAAAAGTTACAAAAATTGCTATAACTTTGGAATTGAAGACTCAAACTCGCCATCTCCTTGTAAGGGAAGAGACGATTACCACAAGACAATTTTACAAATTTGATACTCCAGAAATTATAATATATTTTGCTATCTAAAATACTAGTTTGCTAGGGTTTAGGTTCGGATCGGTCATAATTATCAACAAAAGAGATAAAGAAAAATAAGTTCTAACAAAACCGATAAAATACTACAGTTTATAACAAAAATGACACTATTATGAATTGATAAAGGTACTATAGTTTATTTTGTACCACTATTTCTTATCAATTCATTTTTATAGTTCTTCTGTCTTTTATGGAAAACTATACTTCCAAAACTACATAGCAAAACATGCGTGAAATTTTGATACAAATTTGTATTTCTAAAACATGTATATGTAAAGAAACAGTGGAAGTATACTGTATATTATATGTATATATTGTCACTCAACGTATGTTTTAGTCAAATGCTACCATATGTGTAAACTAATGTTGCAAAGTGGTCGTTTTATTTTAACAAAAAAAAAAAAAAAAAAAAAGTGGTCGTTTTAACGCGTTAGGAAATTACGGGAAAAAATCCAATAGGTGATGGGAACAAATAAATGGAGAATCGCTTTTGTTTACGTAACTCATCTTCTTTTATATATCACGCGTTTTTCGTGGGCTTCAATGGGCCCCATGAAGTCGACATTGTTTTTTTTTTATACAGTAGTATTTAAAAGTACGGCAAAAATACATCATGCGCCACGTGGCCTTCTCTTGTTTATCATAATCTCACACGTCGCACGTGTGACAATTGCTAACGCAAACTTTTTTAACTAGTTGGTTTTTGGTTTAGTTACCGATAATAAAGAAAACAGTCTAAATTATTACTTAGCAGCAAAAATTTAAATCGAGGTGAGAATTTCATGTGCAATTGATTATTAGTATGACTCTTCTGGCTTTAACATCAAAATCAAACACTAAAGACAGAAAAATACGTCATCAAAGTAATAACTATTTGACTAAGAAACTCTTTTTCTTGTTCGTAAAACTACTTTTTATTTTGTAGACAAACGAACGTGATACGTTTGGACTTTGGACCAGCGTCACAGACGTTGACGGCTTTGGGACATGTTCGAAGAAAGGATACGTCGTCGTTTCGTCGGCATTTTCTGATTTCAGTCTTTCTTTTTTTTTTAGGTTCACTCACTGCAGGAATTTTCACGAACACTTTAATTTCTCTACACGCTTAAGAACACGTTTTTGTTATTAGATTTTTTTTCTTTTTCGAAGAATTTATTTTGTTTAAGAACAACAAGAAAAAAAAAATTAAAGATTTATATGGTTCGTATAAATGCACCGACAGACTTGGAGCTAGAAATTCTACCGACAGAAATTCTTGCTCGGAAACCATAGACGTACCTATTAATGTCAATGCTCTTTAATTTTTTAAAATATCAAATGTTCGTGAGGCCTTTACATTCAGATTCAGCCCATTATATTCGTGGGCTTATAGGAAAGAAAAAAGCCCATTAAACCGACATACTCTATCGGGTATAACAAAAAAAACCCGATAACCCGACTCGCTCATCGGAGAACTTTCCATTTTCTAAAACTTGAGTAAAATGTAAATCTCTTTGAAATAAAAAGCTTTTCCGTTTCCCTCTTTTGAAAATCAGAAAACCCTAAAATCGCTACTCTCTCGTCTCTCTTCGCCGTCTTCATCTCTCCCGGCGAAACCCTAATCGAACAGCTCGGATTCGATCCGTCGTATAAACCCTAGTATCTGTTGTGTTCTAAGAAAGATGGAGTGGAATCAGGCGACTCTAGAGTTCCTTTCGCAATGTTTTCTTAACACGCTCTCTCCGATACCGGAGCCTCGTCGAACAGCTGAGAAAGCACTATCGGATGCCGCCGATCTACCTAACTACGGCCTTGCCGTTCTCCGGTTGGTGGCTGAGCCCGCAATCGACGAACAGACGCGTCACGCCGCTGCTGTCAACTTTAAGAACCATCTCCGTTCGCGGTGGCTTCCTGCTGGTGATTCTGGTATCTCACCGATCGTTGATTCGGAGAAGGAGCAGATCAAGACACTCATCGTCTCTCTTATGCTCTCTTCTTCTCCTCGTATCCAGAGCCAGTTGAGTGAAGCCCTAGCCGTCATTGGTAAGCACGATTTCCCCAAATCTTGGCCTGCTTTGCTTCCTGAGCTTATCGCCAACCTTCAAAAAGCTGCTCTCGCTGGCGATTATGTCTCCGTCAATGGTATACTTGGGACAGCTAGTTCGATTTTCAAAAAGTTTAGGTATCAGTATAGAACCGATGATCTGTTTCTTGATTTGAAGTATTGCCTGGATAGTTTTGCTGCTCCTTTGACTGAAATATTCCTGAAAACGTCTTCGTTGATTGATTCTGCTGCGAGCTCTGGTGGGTCTGCTGCGATCCTGAAGCCTCTGTTTGAGTCCCAAAGGCTGTGCTGTAGAATATTTTACTCGTTGAACTTTCAGGACTTACCGGAGTTTTTCGAGGACCATATGAACGAGTGGATGGGAGAGTTTAAGAAGTATCTATCTTCAAATTATCCCGCCTTGGAAAGCACAGAAGAGGGGTTAACACTTGTTGATGATCTTCGCGCTGCTATTTGCGAGAACATCAATCTTTATATCGAGAAAAACGAAGAAGAGTTTCAAGGCTTTTTGAATGAGTTTGCATCAGTTGTCTGGACATTGCTCCGAGATGTGTCAAAGTCTCCTAGCAGAGATCAACTAGCTACTACAGCAATCAAGTTTTTGACCACTGTGAGCACAAGTGTTCACCATGCTTTGTTTGCGGGCGACAATGTTATCAAGGAAATTTGCCAAAGTATTGTGATTCCCAATGTTTCTTTGAGGGCGGAAGATGAAGAAATTTTCGAGATGAACTATATAGAGTTTATCCGTAGAGACATGGAGGGAAGTGATGTGGACACTAGAAGGAGAATAGCTTGTGAGCTACTCAAAGGACTTGCCACAAACTACAAAACACAAGTGACAGAAGTAGTTTCTCTTGAGATACAGAAGCTCTTGAGTTCATTTTCAACAAATCCGTCTGCACACTGGAAAGATAAGGATTGTGCAATTTACTTGGTTGTCTCTCTATCTACTAAGAAGGCAGGGGGTGCATCTGTGTCTACAGATCTCATTGATGTTCAAAACTTCTTTACAAGCATTATTCTCCCAGAGCTGCAAAGCCGCGATGTCAACAGTTTTCCGATGCTAAAGGCAGGGTCCTTGAAGTTTTTAACAATGTTTCGTAGTCATATACCAAAGCCCTTTGCAATGCAGTTGTTCCCAGAGTTGGTCCGATTCCTTAAAGCAGAGTCGAACGTGGTCCACTCTTATGCTGCTAGCTGCATAGAGAAGCTCTTGCTAGTGAAGGAGGAAGGCGGAAGGGGTAATAGGTATGCTGCTGGTGATATAAGTCCGTTTTTGCTGCAGTTGATGACGAACCTGTTTGATGCGCTGAAGTTTCCAGAATCAGAGGAGAATCAATATCTGATGAAGTGTATAATGCGGGTCCTTGGTGTTGCTGATATCAGTGCTGAGGTTGCTGGACCTTGCATCGGGGGATTGACCTCTATTCTCAGTGAAGTTTGCAAAAATCCTAAAAATCCTATATTTAACCACTATCTCTTTGAGTCTGTGGCTGTACTTGTTCGACGGGCATGTGAACGCGATATTTCTCTTACATCTGCATTTGAAACGAGTCTTTTCCCAAGCCTCCAGATGATTTTGGCCAATGATATCACAGAGTTCTTGCCTTATGCGTTTCAGTTGCTGGCTCAGCTTGTTGAGTTAAATAGACCACCTCTCTCACCAAACTACATGCAGATCTTCTTGCTGCTCCTCTCGCCTGAGTCATGGAAGAGGAATGGCAATGTTCCAGCTCTTGTGCGGCTGCTTCAAGCTTTTCTGCAGAAAGCACCTCATGAGGTTACTCAAGAGAATCGGTTGAGTCAAGTTCTGGGGATATTTGAAAAGCTGGTTGCATCTCCTAGCACAGATGAGCAAGGCTTTTATATCCTTAACACGATTATTGAGAATCTGGACTACAGTGTGATTGCACCTTACATGAAGGGTATATGGAGTGCTCTATTCACACGCCTTCAAAACAAAAAGACAGTCAAGTTCCAGAAGTCGCTAGTAATATTCATGTCGCTCTTCTTGGTGAAGCATGGACAGGCTTATCTAGTGGAGACTATGAATACTGTTCAGCCAAACATCTTCACTGCTATCTTGGAGCATTTCTGGATTCCGAACCTGAAACTGATCATGGGGAGTATCGAGGTAAAGTTAACGGCAGTTGCTGCGACTAGACTCATATGTGAGACTCCGGCTCTCCTGGATCCATCAGCTGCTAAACTCTGGGGGAAGATGCTTGATAGCATAGTGACACTTGTTTCCAGGCCTGAGCAAGAAAGGGTACTTGATGAACCTGAAATGCCAGAAATCTCGGAGAATGTTGGATACACAGCTGCGTTTGTGAACCTTCACAATGCAGGGAAAAAAGAAGAGGATCCTCTGAAAGACATCAAGGACCCGAAACAGTTCTTGGTCGCTTCTGTTTCGAGGCTTTCTTCTGCTTCTCCTGGTAGGTACCCACAGATAATTGGTGAGAATCTCGAACAAGCTAACCAAGCAGCTTTGCTCCAGCTCTGCAATGCTTACAACTGTGGAATTGCTTGAAGGTAAGTGTTTGTAATTGACTTCAAGAATGGTTTCAGATTGTATTCAGGAATCAATCTTGATGGTGATTATAAAATGTTTTTTGGCAGGAGAGATGGGTTTGACGGGAAAGAAGAAGGGAAACACAGCATCACTGCATTGCATAGCGTCTGCGAAGAAAAAGTGGTCAAATCATAATGCATATTTTTGTCTTAAAATCGGGAGTTTCATAGCATTTGGAAGTTAGATTAGAGAAGAGCATCATCTTCCAAAAACTTGGATTTCTTTTTTTGGATTACGCATTTGAATGGGGGTTTGTCTTGTTTTCCCTTCAAAGTAAAGCATATTGATCTCTGTATGAACTGTGTGTTTATGTGCATTTTGTCGTTGTCTGATGGTCATTGTTGTTATTAAAGATGGAGAAAGCCAAGCATGTTTCATAAACTTCACGATTTGGAAAACTAATTTCTATGTGGGCCTGCCAATGGGCCTGTAATCGAAGTCTGACAGCTTCCATCTTGTTGTGGCCCATAATCTAGTCATTTGACAATTCAATTTTTCAATATCATTTTTTTTTGCCACCAGCTCTTTCTTAATCAAGAAACTTGTTAATAATATTTAACTCTTGAGCTTTAATTTTAATTTAATTTTTCAAGTTGATAAGTGGAGTGTACTGTATAAAATTGGGAAAGAAAAAGAGAGAGGAATTCGGAAACAAGAGGTTAGGAGGTGATATAGGTAATTGTTGGTGCTAATCATATGGACCTATGACCACTAAACTCTGTCTAATCTTAATTAACAATTTCGTCATTGACAACACATGATGACTAAAGGAGGGAGGAAATTGTAGCTTTCTTTGTTTATCGTTAGCGACCAATCATATAAATTTTTTATTTTTTAATTATACTTAGCAAACATTATTGTAGGAAAACATTTGATGTCGACAAAAGTCTTGCAAGTAATCTATGAACTTTATCGTTTTATAACTTTATACTAATCATAAACTCTCTATAACAAACATTAAAATTCGGCTGGTATATGCTAGTGCCCATGTAATATGGCCCTCGCACGTTGGCGATATCAATGATTGTCATGTTTTTTTTTTTGTTCTAACCATTTTATTTATCTCATTAATTTGTATGATAGATTGTATATGAGAGACATAATATGGGTTAAGGGGAAATAATGGAGACGGGGAGAGAGAGAGATTGAGAGTGCGAGAGATGGTCATATGATATGACCATGAGATTTATCATCTGGTCCCCTCGTTTTTATAATATAAGAAAGTGACATTTTATATGAAATTACAGTGGACCAACCATTGTTAATATATGGTAGTTTTCTTCTTTCGACTCTTTATGAACTTTAGTGTACGAGTGTAAATTTATGTTTATGTGTGTGTGGATTTGGCTTAAAGTAGATCCAACTCAATGAACCCACTCAAACGCAGTGTTCAATAATTAGAGACCTAGTTAGAGTATAGTTTTCTTTTTCTTTTTTAAATCTTATATAAGTTGGCAAGCGTTTAAGGTACTCGATAGCAAAAACTTGTTTTTTTTTTTTCTTTCGGAAATTCAGTTTCGTATGTATCATTCATAAGTCATCTGTTACGAGTTACTTATTAATAATAAGATTTAGTTGAATGATTCGTTAGAATCATATATGAGAAAAAAAGAAAAACATCTTCTTAGCGAGTCTACTCACGTCAGATTATTAAGACATTACAATGTAAGAAACTAAGAATACCATATTACAAACTAGAAAGAACAAAAAATTGGAGTTCTTTCTTCTTTGACTAGTTTTAAAAAAAAAAAAAAAAAATGTTTTGCCCCTAAATATATTAAGAAAATATGACCAATCCTTTGTCAAACATGTGAGGTACCTTTATTTGAATAAAATTGGAAAAAAGTAATAAATAAACACAAACAAGTACCAGGAATCCTTTCCTTATTTAACAAAATAATTATTCATCCACCACTTCCTACAAATATATTAATTTCACAGAAGAGAGCAATCATGGAGTGAGAAAATAAGGGAAGAAAATAAAATAAATTATATTTTCCCGATAAAAATGAAATATATGACCCGTTGAATTTGAAAATAATTTAGATAGGAAAATGGTACGAACTATTTTTATTCGGTAGAATGGATCTCATAGAGATTCTCCAATATGGAAAACGTATCGCTGGAGTTGTACGGACGACGAGTTTGATACGAAATTACTCATTCAATGAAACACTTTAATTTATAGGATTCTTATTATTTTTTGATAATGGGATTTGATCATTTGAATGGATGCTATTGAATAAACGATACTGGAACACATGTTTATTATACAATCAGATTTAAAATGTTAGATGATTAATAAAAATAAAAAAGGATTAAATTTTTGTAATAAAATTGTTTAGGTGAAATTTTCGTCTAGTGATCGAAAATCTCTGGTATTAAAATCTAATATTCCATATGGTTTAGTTTATCCATAAGAAAACTCGTACCTGAAACTAATGTATCATTATTCATTAACATTTGTTGTTAATAGCATACGTGATTATTTGCCACATGTATGTGAGATGTGAGATCACACTTCATGTGCATCCAAAACTTTGATTTTTATTACTAGAAATTAATCGACAAGGAACATAGAGCTAGAGATCGAGTACTGTCTTTACTCTTTAGACGTGCATATGTCTCCTCCTCGTACTAATTACTAGTAGTATTTTAAAATCTCTTACACTTCATTATTTTCCGCGACAACATATTTGGTCGGAACTTGCCAATAGATGTAGGCGTAGCTATTATCCATGTGACGTTTTAGTTTGCTAATATGTTTTATGTCTATGACTGTATCATTCTTTTTATCCTTATTAACCTTTAAGGCTTTAACCATCCTTTTAATTATCAAATCTTTTTAACCGAGCTGATATTATCCGGAATGATGTATTGGCCAAGTATAGGTGAAACCAACGTGAATCATTCATGAGGAATGAAATCAACATCATTTAACTAATGACTTGGTTAGTATCTTGATGATATATATATATATACACCACGGTAGAAAATTTGCCTATTAATACATTTAGTAAAATTTTCTTATATCAACTAGTATAATTTTTCTCTACACCATTATTCAAGTTTGATAACCAATATCTATCTTATTGGTGTATTTATCTTTCTATAGTTTTATTTAATATTTTTTGAAAACTGAAACCATAGCAAGGAAGCGTGAATCCAAACGCATTCCTATGAATTGCAATTTGACTAGTAGCATTTTAAAATATATGGAATCTAATCTCTAAATCGTAACCGAATAAATGGATCGGATCCGTTGCACCGATGGTTTATAATCATATTATAACTAATCCGAATTTTAATCTCGTTTTTGACCTGTTTTAATAGCAAGGTCCGTGAGCTTAGTGTTATTGAGATTCCTTTCGAGTTATGGACCTTACACTTTAAGTGACGGGAAAGGTCAATTTTTCGCATATTAAATGAAAGAGATAATTAGGAAAAATTGAATCTATATAAGTATATATATACAAATTATAACTAAATTATTTTTACATTTTTATATTTCACCAATACAATGTCATTGCTTTGACTCCCTCCACCCACAGGCCACAGGTGACAGGCCACAAGTGAAAACCTTACACTTATAAAATTTTACTAATAGAAAACGAATAGTGGAAGATATTCAAGACCCAAAACATGTAATGTCCAATCAACCAGTTAATAGCTTTAAAATATATAAAAAGTCAGTATTCTTAAGTAAAAAGATGATTAATTTGTGCAATAGTAATCAAGATAGTAGATACGCCGTTAGAATCAAATCTTCCTTTCTTGAATGTGTTGTTAACTTAAGCCAACCATTTGATTCTCTTTACTGCAGCTATATTAATTTTAAACACCAAATGCAATAACCATAAATTTCTTATAATATTTTAATTATAATAATTCATTTTTTAAGTCTGTATATTCGGTCATGACATCATTCTCCCACACTTCAAAAAAAACAATTCGATGACGATCTATATTAGTTGAGACATGCATATCTACAAAACGAATATTCGTTATTCTCATTTACTGATGTGGCGATTATATATGATTTATGACTAAACGAGTGATTAACTATATATATAATGCTGAAACAATGAAATGGACTATAAAAAGTAGTGATAATTAGAGCAAAAGTAGTAGAAAAATATTGTGAAATGAATTCCATTGTACCACTAATTAAGAAATTAAGAATAGAAAACTATTACTATAATGTTTATATTCCCATCCGTGCGTTTCCATTCACTTTAAGAAATCATATTCCCAACCAACAATTTGAAGCAAACGGTCCTCTACTTTTATTGTTCGTTTTCTCTTTACCTTATTTTAAAATCACGTTAATTATCTGTAAAACTACCTTTTTGCGTTGAAGACAACTTGAGTAAAATGTAGATTCGTATCAGGATGCAACACAATAATACTACTATTCAGATCTTACTTAGTTTCCTATTGCAGTGTTTTATTTCCATCATGCACTAGACATCACTAATTTACTTAAGTCAAAATATCTCAAGTATTATGATATAACAGAAGATCAAGTAATATTATGAAACGTGAAAATAAAATACAAAAAACAAGAAAAAGTCTCGCACGCTTCCCAAAGCCCTAAAACCATAACGTTCGATGTGGATTGGCAAAATCTCTGCTGGTACATTCACGAGCCAACACGTTTGCCTGCCACGTTCCAGACACAAGCTAGAAAGTAACGGCACCGTCAAATCTAACGAGACTCATAAGGGAACAATTAAAAAAAAACATCGTCTTTTTTGGCTTCACACGCCTTATTATGGTAAGAAAGTAAGAAACTATTTTTGCCTATCGAGTAAGAATTTAGTGAAAAACTGATAAGACATGAGAGATGAGACCTAACTATAGTATTAAGTGACATGAGAGATGAGACCTAACTATAGTATTAAGTACTTAACATTTACTACTTACTCAGAAGTAAGAACCGTTGTCTTTAATTTTAACGGTCCAGATTCATTATCACAATAATTGACCATACGTTTCTTTTAAGAAAGGAAAAAAAACAGCAAGAAGTTTGTGAGTTAATGAACAAAACGACACGGAGTTTGAAAGAGAAAAGGAAGACAAAAAGGCAGAGAGGAAGGAAGAGAAGGAGCGGTTTCGTAACTGAAACTGAAAAGCTAAAGAGAAAAACCCGGAAAAAGAGCAAACTTTTTAATCAATTCTTCTTTATCACAAGAGAGTGCCTTTGTAATGAATTTTTATGTTGTGTAATGAATACAGACATAACCGTCGTGTCTCGTCGTCGTTAAAGAAACGAGAGTTTTTCAGCTGTTTACTTACTTACTTTGATGACTCTTGTCTTCTTCTTCTTTGTCTTTCTTCTTTGATGGGTTAATACTTTGAGCTTGAGAGGGTTTCGATTTTAGTTTCCTGTTAGTGTTTGTTTGCTTGTGTAAAGCTTGGATCTTTTGGTTTCTTCAATGGCGAATGTAGATGCTGATTTCAGAACATCACGTGAGTTCAATTTTGACTTCAATTTCTCAAGTTTGAGTTTTCATTTTCTTGGGATAAAGTCAACATTTTTACTTCTTTCACATCCGTGGGGTTTTTGTTAACGAGCTAAAACAACCTTTAAAAAAAGCTAAGACCCACTTCTAATTTCTATGATAAAGCTTCAAATTTTGCAACTTTGTTGAAATTGATGGTTGTTGGTTGGTATTTAGGGTCTAATGATGATCAATTGTACACGGAGCTATGGAAAGCTTGTGCAGGTCCACTTGTGGAAGTTCCTCGTTCTGATGAAAGAGTTTTTTACTTCCCTCAAGGTCACATGGAACAAGTAAAGAATCCAACTCTCAAAATTATTCCTTTTTTTTTCCACAATTTTTTTCTCAATTTTAAGACTTGAATGTTTCTTTTGGAAGTTGGTGGCTTCTACTAATCAAGGAGTTGTTGATCAAGAGATACCAGTGTTTAATCTTCCTCCAAAGATACTTTGTCGAGTTCTTAGTGTTATGTTAAAAGCAGAGCATGAGACAGATGAGGTTTATGCTCAGATCACATTACAACCAGAAGAAGATGTAAGTTTTAAGAATCTTGAATTAATGTTATCAGTTCAATGAATTTGATTTAGATTTTATATGTTTTTATTATGCAGCAAAGTGAACCCACAAGTCTTGATGCACCTTTGGTCGAACCAGCTAAACCAACAGTTGATTCGTTTGTGAAGATTCTAACAGCTTCTGATACAAGCACTCATGGTGGATTCTCTGTTCTTCGTAAACACGCCACTGAGTGTTTACCTTCACTTGTAAATGCTTTTATCCTTCCATCTTCATTTTCCAGAGTTTGGCCTTTCTTAGCTGAATTTGTCACTTTATGCATTGATTTTGATTTTCAATACTTAGGATATGACACAACCTACACCGACTCAAGAACTTGTAGCTAGAGACCTTCATGGCTATGAATGGAGGTTTAAGCATATATTTAGAGGTAACAGAATCTTTAAGAAAGTTTCTAAAAGTTTCTTTTAGTTTTTAAGAGTCTATAGAGTTTATCTTGTGTCGATAGGGCAACCAAGGAGGCATTTACTTACAACGGGTTGGAGTACATTTGTAACCTCGAAAAGACTTGTAGCTGGAGATGCATTTGTGTTCTTGAGGTAGCTAAAGATCATGAGTTTTACTTTCGGGTTTTACTTCATGGGGTTAACAAGTTATCATCTTCTTGTGTTGTTTTAAGGGGTGAAACCGGGGATTTACGAGTTGGTGTGAGACGTTTAGCTAAGCAGCAAAGCACGATGCCCGCATCAGTTATTTCGAGTCAGAGTATGCGTTTGGGAGTTCTTGCTACAGCTTCTCATGCTGTTAACACAACAACTATATTTGTTGTCTTCTATAAACCAAGGTAAATTTCAAACTTCTTACATCTTATATAGGTTGCTAGTGAAGGCCTTTAAGCTTGATATTGTCTGTTTTTTGTTCCTTCAGGATAAGCCAATTTATAATCAGTGTGAACAAGTATATGGTGGCGATGAAGAACGGGTTTTCTCTCGGTATGCGATTTAGGATGAGATTCGAAGGAGAAGAGTCTCCTGAGAGAATGTAGTTTCTCATTTTTTCTTTGTTCATTTGTTCATTTTTTCAGTCCTCTCTTGAATGTTGTCTGAAATTTAGAATGGTTTCTTCTTCAGATTTACAGGTACGATTATTGGTAGTGGAGATCTATCTTCTCAATGGCCAGCTTCCAAATGGAGGTCATTGCAGGTTAAGTGAATTTGAATCATTCTCTAGAGATAATATTTCATATGATTCTTGTTCCAGACTTTCTTTAAAATTCTGAATCTATTTCTTTCTATATTTAGATCCAATGGGACGAGCCATCTTCTATTCAGAGACCAAACAAGGTCTCACCGTGGGAGATCGAGCCTTTCTCACCATCTGCGCTTACCCCGACGCCTACTCAACAACAATCAAAGTCCAAACGGTCCAGGCCCATTGGTTCATCAATTTCAGGTACCTTCAAAAACAATCTTTAGGTACTTTTTTAGAGTTAACTAATTTTAATGTATTGCAAGAAAGATCTCTGATACTTGATTCAGGTTATCTATCTCTAATGAATTTATTTTTTGTACTGCTTTTTGTTATTAATTCTCGGCAATGAAACTTCTGTCCTGCATTGCAGAAATCACAGGGAGTCCCGTAGCTTCTAATTTCTTGAGTAGCTTCCCGCAGAGCCACGAGTCTAATCCATCAGTCAAATTGTTGTTTCACGATATAGCAACCGAGAGAAACTCAAACAAATCAGTGTTTTCAAGTGGATTACAATGCAAGAAAACCGAGGCTCCGGTCACAAGTTGTTGTAGGTTATTCGGATTCGATCTCACGAGCAAGCCTGCTTCTGCTCCAATTCCTCCTAACAAGCAACTAATAAGTGTGGATTCAAATATCTCTGATTCTACCCCCAAGTGTCAAGATCCTAACTCCTCGAACTCACCAAAAGAGCAGAAACAACAAACATCCACAAGAAGCCGAATTAAGGTAAAACAAACCATTACTCTTTACTTCTTTTTTTTTTTTGACATTAACCATTTTACTCTTTACTTGAAACTCAATAACTTTCAAATTTTGTTATTCCTCAAAATCGCCACTTTATTTCTGTTTGTTCTTGCAAAGGTGCAAATGCAAGGAACAGCTGTTGGGCGCGCGGTTGATTTAACATTGTTGAGATCATACGATGAGTTAATCAAAGAGCTAGAGAAAATGTTTGAGATTGAAGGAGAACTTAGTCCTAAAGACAAATGGGCTATCGTGTTTACAGACGATGAAGGAGATATGATGCTTGTAGGAGACGATCCATGGAAGTAAGTTTCTCTCGATCTCTTTCTTCAGTCTAAAGTCTCTCTCAAGTTTTTAACGATTGTGTTTTGATATACTCTCTTGAATGTTGCAGTGAGTTCTGTAAAATGGCAAAGAAGTTATTCATATATCCGAGTGATGAGGTCAAGAAATTGAGCTCGAAGTCTTTATTGCCTGATAAAGGCACGATCGTAAATCTTGAATCGGATCAGAGGACAGTTCACGTTTAACTACCAAGTTCTTGATTTCTTACTATCTTGGATTCTCTCAAGTCTCACCGAGTCCGAGAATTAGTTGGTTTGAATTTTTTATTTTTTTTTTCGCGTTAGGTGGGTTTGTTATTTAACATAAAGACTATATAATATATCAACTATTATTATATACGAATATATCATATTAGGTTTCAAACGACGTCGTTTTATGTGAAGTGTTTGCTTTTCCGACGTGGCTTTCGTCGTCATGACTAATGATGTGTTAGCAATAGCTAAAGAAAGGTCATATTTTTCTAATGTAAATATTCTGTGTTGGCCTAATAAGATCGATTAACATGTTAGTAGGCCCAAGTACACTTAGGCCATAACATTTTTACTGTATAAACTTTCTTCTATGCCCTCAATTCTTTCAGATTTTATAATTGTAAGTTCGTAACCTTCTTATTTACAATAGCAGTTGACTAATTAACCCAAGAAAAGACCTATGAAGAAAAGGTGTCAATCCAATATACAACGTGTTTATATAAAGTTGATAACAAAATATTAGTATGATAATCATTGTTAAATGAATAATTATATCTAAGAGGACAAATGGAGATAACCTGCTCCTTTTCTATTTTGTTTTGTCACAAAAGAACAACCTGCTCCCTTAATCTTGTGTTCCGTGTAACAAAAGACCCACTTCCCTTTAACTCGATTATTATTCTTATTAGGGACGTTTTATTGAACATTTTGACTCTTTATTATTACAAAAAACCCTCACCTAAGACCACTTTCATCGTATTTTAATATTTTTTCCTAAACTTAGTTAATCATCATTATAATCTTTAGACTTGCGAGAACACACTAAGCTTGAGAGCTGAGAAGAGATCATAAGCTCCGGTGTCGGTGGGAATGTTTTACTGATGATACTACATTTTAGTTTTGGGTCCACTATAAGCTTTCTTTAAAATCGTTAATCATAAATAAAGTCATTTGTCGGCAGATAATTTTCACGTCAGCTACAAAATTCCTTAAATTAAATGTGTACAATTTGATGAGATCACAAGATTTTCTTCAATGTAGTAGAGTAGTATATCCCAAGTCCTCGAGCAGTTTGTAATCAATTGCATGAATACAAAATTATGATTAAATGTTAGTCACACATATCGTTGTTGATTAGAAGAAAAAAAGGTTACGAAGACCGAAGAAAAAAAGAGAGATGGTTAAAAGAACAGTATCTCACGCGCCTTTTGCGCCTCCTTTCTCAAATCCTTCAGAAGTATTAAGTTCACGTGCCTCACGTGGTTTAGGTGCGCGTGGTTATGTCACGTGTTGCTTGTACTTGGACTGTTACATTACCTCTTGAGCAGTTGGGTGATATTTATTTATTTTCACCTCTATAGTAAATAGTGAAGCAATAAAATGTAAAAAAATATCATCCCTTATAGAATAACACTGTTTGAACTTTAGTGACAATGTATTCTTTGAATAGTAAAAACAAATAATAACAGTTTAGTTGGTGAATGATTCTATTATGTGGAGACGTGGTGTCGTGGTCTGTCAAATTTCCTCTAACAAAAGAGTATTGACTTTTATGAATGGTTGTCTATCTAGTCAACAGTAAAAAACCACCGTTGGATCATTAATAATCACAAATGATTTGAGATATATTTAATGCATTGTCTTTTTATTCTTCACTCTTCCACTACCTAAAAAGAAACAAGCCTAAGACTAAGCTGAAGAAGAAGCAAGAAAGAAAGAAACAGAGGAAAATGAGAGAAGAAAAGGAAGAAGAGAAGGCGAAGCTTGCACTTGTGTTAGCTGCAAAGTCAAGATCATTGTTGTACACTTCATCGCCTGCGAGTCCACGTGTGTTTGCTTCTCCGATTCACACTCTTGCCTCTGTTCCGTTTTGTTGGGAAGACCAACCAGGCAAGCCCAAGAACCCTCTTCGTCCTCTTTCTTACCCCAAGTGTCTTGATTTGCCACCTCGTTTGCTCCTTCCTGGTGAGTTTACGCAAATGCCCTTGCCCGAGAGGAAACATGGGCTCTTGCGGTTCTTGAGGAGGAAAGGGAGAGGGGATGTTGTTGTCAGGGGTAATTATGTCTTTCTGTCGGACAATCAGAGAGCAGGAGAGATCAACGAGAACAACATGAAAATCATGAAGTTTAACAGATCAGGGAGTTTCCATGGTGGTGGTTCTGTTAAAGGATCTCACTTTTGGGTAAAGTTTTTGTGTTTCTTAGCTCATTCTTCGTGAATCCATCTTCCCAAGTCTCGTCTTTTGCTTAAATGGGTTTGGTTGGGAAATGCAGGGAAGTTTATGCAAGGGATTGAAGCTAGCAATGCCATGGAAGAAGAAGAAGCTGAGAAGTGAAAGTGTTTAAGCCTGTTTTCAATATGCATTATTACAAGACACATCAAATCATCTCTCTATCTTATCTATTGAGGGAACAAAATGATGTAAAAAGAGCTATTAAGAGTGTATGTAAGATTAGCAATTTTATTGTAATGTGAAACTAATATCTGTGTGATATGCATATATAATGTTAAGACTCATGAGCCATGGCAAGAAAAGTTCCAAGCTTTTTCATTTTTCATTAAGAAATGAATACATCTGATTAAGTGATGAACAAGAGTGAGTGTACACACATGCCTTTATATTAAGTTTCAGAACAAAAACATGAGTCTGGCTTATTCATTGTGAATAGAGAGAGTAGAAGACAAAAAAGGAATAGGGATCATCTGAATGTAAGAAAACAGGGAAAGTCATTGCTTGGATTAACTCTGTTTCTTCCCTGTGACACCAGCAATTACCTGCGAAAGCAAATTGGATCTGAGTTAATACTTGACGCCTTTGTTTGCCTATAAAGACTATATATTAAAGTGCTGGATAACTAAGTAATGTGATAACTAACTAGTCTCTTTTATGTCCAATCCAGTTTTTTGACACTAACAAATTGCGATCATGACACTCTTCCATGAAGAAAAGCATAGATTTTTAACAAAGTCATACATGAACCAAAGATGGAACTCACAAATAACAAGTATACACGGGAGGAACAAAAACATCGAGATTAATGTATAAAATACATCACATAGCTAAAAAGACAGACTTGGAATCATCCAAACATTCGCCTATTCGGACACTAACAACAACTATCCCGCAGAGTTTCCAGATCATAACAGGAAATCGATGATGCATTTAGCAGAAAAGGAAATTAAAACAGAGAAAAATCCATAATGATACTTACATCAGTAAGTGGGGGCGCTTTAACTTGCTTGGATGCCTCGAGAGAGTCTAAAATAGGCCTCACAACAGCAGGCAAAAATAGTCCTACAAGATGAAGAGAACCATCAGAAAATGTATCTACACATAGGTAACATTACAGTATTCGAAAAAGACATAATCTTTTGCCACTAATCAGTGATTTAACATCGGGATAATGGAGAAAATGGAAGACGCTGCACCTATCGTTCCAAATTAACCCGCTACTGGGATTCAACTCATAAAGACACTCTCAAACCAAAGATATGGCGATGTTCCTTTTAAATTTGGATCAGGCATTTCTATAGTCTCAACCTAAAATCGAGCAAACTAGCTATAGATTTCCAGAAATTAGATAGATCCCCAAGCAAAATCTTTTTCTAAGAAAGAGAATGCGATCGATCCGGGATCAAATAAGATTGAAATTAGGGTTAATACCAACACCGCCGATTAAGCAAGAAGCAGCAACAACTGGTTCCTGCGCCACGAACATCCTCAATTTCTCCATGATCGGCATTTTTCGCAACTACCCGATTTTAGTCTCTTCCTCGGATTTAAAGACCGCAGCTCGTCGATGTCTGATTCGATTGAGTAACCATTTTCTCACCTGGGATGAAATTTAAGATTATCTCCGGTCGGGTCGGGTCGGGTCAGGTTACTGGGCCCAAATGTTCGAATTCAGCCCATAATGATCACGTTTGCCGTAATTAAACAAAAAATAAAATGGAGTGAAATGTACAATTACCTTTCTCTTTCGCATTCTACACCAGCAGTAAAAAGTTAACCAAAACGACGTAAAATTTACAAGTCTTTTAAATTTCAAAAAATAAGCTAATGCCATGAAACTATGAAAGAGAGACTGAATCTCTAGGTACAAATTGTACATGAAAGAAAGATTATATAAAGTTATATATGCAGATATTACATACATGAAAGATACTTAATTACAGATAATTTCATTTGATTTTTGAAGGAAAAGATCAAACTAGAAACACAATATTAACAAAATTCTCACAACAATTTACATTCTCATCAACGAAATCCAAAAGCTGCATTTGAAGCGAATCTTTAAACTCATTTCAAGATCATCAAGCTGTTCATTGAGAAAAAGATTTTTCAAAAACCCTTTCGAGGTCTCTCGTCTCTTGTTTTTTCTCTTTAGACTAGAAAGATAGCATCTGCATCCATCCAACAGTCCATCCAAGAAGTAAACCAGCACCAACAAGACTCATCCCCAAAGCTAAACCAACCGCGTACTTAGCTCCATTCGGTTTACCCCTTTTGCTTCTTTTCTTTCTCCTCGGTTTTCTTGCTTTGCCATTGCTCCAAGGGATGGAAACCGCTGGCTCGTTGCTGTCCTTGTTCTCAATTTTCTTGTTCTTGATTTGGAGGTAAAGAGCTTCGAGCTGAAGCAGTTGTAACCATTGCTTATACCCAAAAAGCTCTGAGGCTTGCTTGAACAAGATCTTCAACAAGTGCTCTTTCTCTGCATAAGCTTCTTTAGCCATGTTCTCCGCTTCCCTAGCCCGCGTTTGGGAATGCCTCAGCGCTTCTAGTAGCTCGGATTTGCTTAAATCAGACTCAGACGAAGCCTCTGTTCTGTTCTTGCAGCTGCTTCCTCTGCTCGGCCCGTGGTCGGGGATGGTTTGGCCAGAGACAGAGAAGTCTCTCAATCCATCAGAATCAAAACCACGCGGACTACCATAATAAGATCGTTTCATCTTCTGTGGTGTTGGTAAATCACAATTCTCAACATAGTCTAGCGATCTTTGTGCAACCAGTGAAGCTAACTCGTCTTTATCCGTAGTTCGCCACCACGGTCCAGCTTTCTCGCTCGAGAGAGGATTCCACGGCGAGCTGGGATCAAAAGAGAGCTCATTTAACTTTTTCTCAGAGGACTCATCACACCCAGTTGAACCATAACTTTCCCTTGTTTCCATCAACTCTACAAACTCTTGAAAGCTTTCGGAATTAAAAGACTTTCCTTCTTTCTCTCCAGCTCCCAATTCAGACTTCTTCTCAGATACACCTTGACTGTTAACCTCAGCCTCCAAAGGCATCTTATTCACCTGAAAGTGATGATGATGGTGATGACTCCACAATCTGGTGTTGTGGGGTAACAGATCAGGGAAATTCGGGTTTCGATGAAGAGGCATGAAACCTGCACAAGATGATTGCTTCCGTGGATCAACAGAAACTCGAGGAGACGAACCAGAATCTTCAACTTGCTTAGTTGAAGCAGGTGAGGATGATGATGTAGATTGGCAATAAGTTAACTTGGGAGCTCTTTTAGCGTCTTCTTGGACAAAGCAACGGTTAACAGTTCTTTGCCACACTGCTCTTGCTTCAGCTGCTGCCATTATTTCACCATAACTCTGAAGAAAGACGAGAGATTGAGAATCACAAACCAATCAATTCAAGATCAATGTGATTCAGAAAACATGCAGATTTAGCAGCAATCTTATTAACCGTTTTGAATATATTCATAGGAAGACAAAAAATGAATCATTTCTTTCAAAGGAAGAATCTTTGTGATTGCCGACAGATCCATCACCAAAAAGCCTATCAAAAACTCCTTTTTAAACAATAAGAGAATCTGATGTTTTGCTTTAAGGGAAAATTGAAGAATTAGTTCCTAATCTTGTTTACAAGCAAACAAAAATCAGAACCAAATTCTTTGTCAAAATTAAAATTTATTCGACTTACCAACCAAATCATCATTATTTGCAATTGAAATCAAATTTCAGAAACTTCAACTATAAAATTATCAAACCCGATTAGACCTAAGACTCAAAACCGGACACGAAAACATGGGATGATGATCCAAAACCATAATTCATTAACTAAAGACGAAGAATCTTATTGAAACAGCAATAATTTGTAAGAATTCGAAAAAAAAACTAACCAGAAGGAGAGAGTAACACCAAAATCAATAAGAGACGAAACACACAAAACGGAAAAATCTATGAAGAAAGATAAGAGTTGTTCTGAATTGTTTTTTATGTTTGTCAGAGAAGTTTTGTTTGCTTTCGATTAAAACCTTTTTGAATCTTTTGCAGTTTATTATCGTTTTCTTCCTCTCTGTGTCATTCAGCACGCAAGCTTCCGCAAAACGGCACCGTATTTGGAGGACCTATAGTTATGTTAGTGAGTATTTCAGTCCACAGATTTGCCCATAGATTTCACACGATAGCCGTTCGATTAGATATTAATTACACGTGGCGACAAAAAGGAAGATCGTTTTCTTTTTTTTTTTACGGATAAGAAGACCTTTTATCTTATCACTTTACGATTACGCGCGATAATAGATTACGTCATAATTTTTGGTTAAAACAGAAAAAATATCTTGTAATATTGCTCCGATGATTTTGATTTTTTTAGCTGATCGATTAAATTTAAAAACAAGAAATGAATTTAAATTAGAAAAACGTATGGGTCTACTAATATTTTCTATAACATTGATAACTGTATACGTTTTGGTTTTAGTAATAAACTAGTCTCAATCACCATTAGTCATCTTGAAAATATAAATTAGGTTTTTTTACATGTCAATTTGGTTTAATGTAGTTTTGAAAATTAGGTAAAGAGAATGTAAATAGTGGCGTCGTCTAGGAAATTGAATGTTAGGTGAAGCAAAGTTTATTCAAGTCATTATGGTTAATTGTCTCTCTCCACTATCCTTCAATTGATAGTTACCTTAGATATTTTTTTTTATTTTTATTACTTGATTAATAAATTATTTAAGCAATCTAAGATATTCTAATAAGATGCTTTATGTGAGCACTAATATATTCAGTCATAATTAACACCATATACTATATATACAAGTTTGCCCAAAAATAATAAAAAATACAACTAACTTCTTTAGAATAATTATTAAATGAAATGGACCCTTGCCTTAACTTAATATTATCAGGAATAATTCTTGGCAATGGCAAAGGGTTTAATCAAACATTTGATGATTCATATCATTTCGTCTACAAGACTACAACACAAAAAAAAAAAAAAAAAAAGACTACAACACAAATTATGGCGCAGTTTAATAATCAACCATATAAGATAAGATTCCACTACGCAATACGATAGTGGCCAGGTTCCTAGCCGTCAAAGATTTCATAATCTTATTAAACTGTATCGAGCTAATACGAACAAAAAAAAAAAGAAAGAAGATAAATATTTTTAAAAACGAACTAAAATCTAATTGTTTCATAATTATTTTGCCTGGTTCTATTGCACCACACTTAACACCAATCTAATTGGAATCAGTCCGATTAATCCGGTCAAAATCCGATGCAACAAAGTCAACAAAAACTATGTCAACCCAAAAAAAATAGATGATATTTCCGAGTATTGATTGAAGTCAAGTCAAAGATAAATTAAAATCTGGAATATGGTCAACTCAAGATTCCACTGCTTCATAATCTTTTAAAAAGACATCTATACAGCAAAAATAAACCATATATAAAAAAAATTATACATCAGAAAAAAATCACGTATTCAATAAACACACAGTAGAGCAAGTAATAACTCGTTTTCTCGGCTGTAAAACTCTCCCGGAAAATGTTTCTTTTATTTACCATCGTCACAGGGATCTCTAAGGCTGACGAACTTCACCGTGCCATCACCACCACACGTTATAAATCCATTCGGACAAACTTGTATGTCAGTCACCCCAGCCTACACCAAATTCGTAACACATTCACAAACTTTCATTATATATACATATAACCGAATCCTTACTAGATTTTTACTAAGAAACCAAATCCGCAGTTAGGTGATTTGGTTACTAACCCGGATTATTCCACCGTAGCCTCTAGAGTTTGGCTGCAGAAAAGTGTGTCTTTCGTGTAGTTTAGGCCAGTGATGAATCAACTTTGCTGCTTTCGCATCCCAAAGTTTTACTTCTCCGTCTTTGCTTCCCGTCAAGAACAGACTTGTGCGTGGGATTGTCGCTATTTTCGTCACACTCCCTGAAATTTGCATCAATGTCAAATCAAAGTTGGAGAAATATTTTTCAGGTTTAATGAAGGTGAAAATAGGGTTTAGGGTGTGCACCTAAGTGAGCCTTTGGTATATACCAAAGCATCCCATTCTTGTTTTGATCTCCATCAGTCGAAGATCTTCCGTCAGGGTTCCTTTGCCTCTTCATCTTTCCGGTTGCAATATACCGGAAATCATGCAGACCGACATCACCGTTTTTGCCACCAGTCACAATCATAGGAGAAATTGAGCCACTACCAATGTCATTATCGAATACTGAGATAGACCGTGCACCACCTTCATGGAAGAGAAGGGACAAAAACAAAAACATAACTTGTTAAGAGTTATGAGTAATGGAAAATAATACTTATGGTGAACACAGTTTTACAAATTGTTTTATTGGAAGAGACCTTCATGACAATTGATGGATGCCTGGGAGGTTGAAGGGGGAGCTAGAGTATCCCACACAACTACGTTTGCACCACTTGAGCTATATCCTGAAGCTGCAACAATGGATCCACTCGAACTAATATATTCTACATCTCTGCAACCATAGTAACAGAAAAGGAATAGATGAAGCCAATCCTCTCAATAGAACACGAAACAGAGAAAGAATGGTAATTTTCATGATTGAGAGCAATAGTTCCAAACTTGGGTGTTTTTAGCTTATTGGTGAACTTAAAAAAACTTAAGGATCATGAAACGTACGATGCATGGCCATTGAAGCAAAGAGATGATTCAACAGGATGGATATTGCTTCTTCCCCCAACTTCTGATTGCCAAGTGCATACAGTTCCATCCAGTGCAGCGCTAGCAAATCTGTGTCCGCATGGACCGAATTGCACTGCTGATATTGATGCCAAAGCATATGGAGGAGGAACATTTGCAGCAGGCAGAACACCATAAGTTGCAGTAGCTCTGTCTTTTCCAAACTGTAACATGTAAGGTTTGCATTATAAGATCCACAAGGATTTATAAGATATGTCATATCATTTATTTATTCGTCACTCCTAAGACACTGAGTACATGAAAGAATCACATTCAGCCCACCAATCAATAGACGCTCATAAAAGTGAAATGAAATGTCATATCATTAACTCCGAACTTCTAAAACAGATGGTGCAAGTGTTTAGGCACAAACCTCCCACAAGTATATGTGAGTGTTGCTTGAGCCAACCAAGAAGAGGGGCATTGTTGGGTGATAAGAGAATGCTCTCGTAATAACAGTTTCAACTGTTGGGGGAGGATCAACAAACTCTTCAAATTCTTCTTGAGTTTCCCAACCTAGACCAGAGACTCCTAACCCGGAGTAGCCCGGAACTCTGTGAGCTTTCCCAGGCTTGGAAATAGAAACAACTCCAACAGTGGCCCCACCTAACCCAAGGTGTGCTCCTTTCTTATCCCCAAGACCAACACCGAGTGAGACACATGTTGGAATGGGAGTTGACTCAGAGTTAGCCCAACCATTATGTGGCCAGTCAGCATCTGACCAGATATAGTCTGACTGATTTTTGCAGGAATCACCATCTTCTAGGTTAAAGAAAATTATACCCTGCACGTCACAGAATGCACATTTAGGTATGTGTCTATGTCTGATGCCACATTACCACTAAGCATAAGAAAACACTGCAACAACAAAATAACAACAGATTGACATAAACTTGGTCTTGCTATGGCGACATGCATTATCATCTGAAAATTTTATCTCGAGATACTGATGCAGGATACAGATAAAAGATGAATGGAGGTTTTCCAGGATGCAGACTCATCTTTGCATATCTAAAGTTTTGGTGCGTAGCATATGGCAAGTTATAAAAACTTATGTATTTCACAAGAAAGTAAAGATAGAACAAGTGCTAAAGGCAAACTACGGGAAGTAAAGATAGAACAAGTGCTAAAGTAAAGATAGAACAAGTGCTAAAGCTATACTGACCTTGCGGTTGCTAGCTAATGCAGCTTGCCGATGGTTGATGGCGTTGATACAAAGGGCCTGTTATAAAGATTAGAATACTCAATCACAAAAGATACGAAAGTTTCAACAATATCAGTAACTTGTTCGTCAATATAAGAAAATAAGAACCTCTATAAGCTCCCCGGTTCTCTTATGGATTTCTTTAGGGTTCTGGAAAGCAGAGTTCTCATTGGCAGTTATCGCAGCTTTCTGTGAAGAATTTGAAACGTGGCTTGCAAGTGATGCCACCTCATTACTACTTCGACCATCTTGATTGCATGGCACATGTCCCTCATTCTTCCTGGTTACTTCTCTGTACATATCGCTCCAATCTTCCAATGGTTTAGATTTTGACCATTCAAATATGTCAAAATTTTCTAGCAAGAAAGCTTCGTATAGCAAATGAGGATCAACACAAAGCTTCCAGAACCTCACAGAAACCACAGGGTCACCGTTGTTTTCATTTTCTATACCTGCATCTGGGATATCCCGTTTAAGAAAATTTGCTTGAGATCCCCGACATTCGAGCAGCCATAACAAGGTAGGAACCTGAATTTTCTTCTCTAGTTTCGGTTTCAAGACCAATACTAGTTGTTTTACATGGTATGAAGAGAGTTGAGCTAGGGTACTAATCAGTGTTTTTCCCAGAACAGACATTATCTTCTCCGTTATGCATACAATGTCATCACTGGAGTCCAATGATGTCTGAGCATCAAAATTTTCAGGAGAACCATTATTCGAAATACCATCATCTAGATTGATCGAAATAGATCCTAGCTTATGTTTCACAAAGTCTGAAACGTGCTTCCAGAAACATGCTTGTGTTACAAGACATCTTTCATCTTCTGGAATTGAGTACACTGGATAGCCAACTTCGTAATTCTCAACATCTCTGCTGACCTTAGAATTAACTCCTACATCTGATGCATCTGGTACACTAGCAGAAGCTTCCTGGTGGTATACTCTCTTCACACTTTCCAGGTCAACCTCATAAGGCATATGCCCATGAAAATATGCTATCACAA